GTGAGCGTGTGTACGGGGGCATCAATGCCCGTCTCGCTGACGAGGAAGTCGTGGTAGATGACGGGGACGTGATCCTTGGTGAGCTGCACGTCAAACTCGACGTATTGGGCGCCAAGATTGGCCGCAGCAATGAAAGAGGGCAGCGTGTTCTCGCCGAGCTGCAGAGACTTGTTGGAGGTAATGTTCTTACCGAGGCCGCGGTGGCCGATGACCATGGTGGACGAGAGCTTCTTCCAGTACGTCTGTCTGGACGTAATCTCCATGTTGGGGTGATAAAAGGGCGTGATGACCAAGAAGTTGAAGTTGACTGTTCCAATCACGTCAAGACTGCTGTTCATGATGGGCACGCACACATCACCCTGGAGATTCATGCGGCTGGTGCCCAGGGTCGGTCGAATGGAAGACATGAGGGCCACGGCACGTCCGATTTTGTTCTTGTTGTTGCCCGAGTAGGTCGGCACAATGTCAAAGAGAAGCTTGACCTTGGAGGCGTCTCGCGTAGTGAATACGATCGGCTCGGTGGCAATGTGCTCGTGGACGGGGAGGTCAATAATGGTCGGTTCTCCTTGAGCGCCGTCCGCAGCCACGACGACGGAGAGAGCCGTGTCGAGCTGCGTGTTGTGCGCCTCCGCGAGAGGGACGCTGTCTAGGGTTACCGCATCAAGCTTCTTTCGAATGTCCATGGACCCTAGGCTCACCAAGACCAGGCTTTCGTTGGTCAGATAGCGATGACCAAACGTCTTGACAAGCTCAGCCGGTCGCGGCGCCGGCGATGATCCAGTCGAACGGCGGCCGTCAATGGATGAGGACGTCTCTGTAGGGTTGAGCGGCGGAGATGGGGCCGCTGATCGTGTAGCCGACTCCGACTCCTTCGTGTGAGCCGCGAGCAGCCTCGCAATCGGCATGTGTCCACGCAGTGCCGCATGCTCCTTGGCCGTCCAGCCAGACGCATCAGGCTTGGAAACGTCCGCTCCGGCGTCGATGAGCAACTGCACGACAGAAAGAGACCCGTCAACAGCAGCAACGTGCAGCGGAGTCCAGGCATAAGACTTTTCAGCAATCTCGATATCGGCCTTTTGCAGTTTGCTTTCCAGAATGACGCGAGCGCACTCATCATGTCCAAACCTAGCGGCGACGTGGAGAGCCGTCTCACCCGTCTTGTCGGTCCAGTTGACATTGACACCGGCCTCAACAAGCATCTTGACAATGACAACATAGTTGGACTTGGTAGCAAGCGCGAGGACGGCACCCGACTTGGCAACAGTCTTTCGGATCTCCGTCTTGGCCTCGCTGCTGCCCTGCCAGTTCTCGCCCTGGAGGAGGGCCTGCGTGGTCAGAGGATGGCCGCCAATGACACTAAGATGCAACGGCGCGTAGCCGTCATTATCTTGCCACTCAGGGGCATCAATACCGTCTTTGACGTCGAACTGGCCCCATTGCTGCATCCTGGCCATGATGATCTGACAGACGACGACGAATCCGAATTGGGCGGCATAGTGAAGCGGCAACCGACCTAACGTGTCAGGACTCTTCAGAGCGCCTCTCTGATTCTCCGTCATGTTGTCGAATAGAAACTCGAGAATCTGCACGGCTTCGTCATCCTTGCCGAGCAGAGCGGACTCGTGCTTGTTGAGCTCCTTGACCTGAACGGCAGAAGAGACGGCAGGCTGCAAGTGTCTTGCGTTGAAGTGCGTGCCGACTGGAACTGGATACGTGTTGGCATCCTCTTTGGTGGGCGCAGATTTGGTGCGGCCAATGTGAATGACCAGGCGGTGGATGCAGTTTCGTCCGTTGATGTCCTCTGGCTCATCGAGATCTTTGATGTTCTGGAGGAGATATGCGATACAGGCCCGGGACCGTCCCGAGATGGAGCGCTGCAGCAGGTTCAGCAACAAGGGCTGCGATGAAGGCTCTGACGGGTCAACGTGTGCATCGGCCAATCCAGATTTCAGCGACTCCACGTCGTTGTTGCGGACGGCCTGCTCCAGCGTATCGAGCTGGGCCTGTGGCATGTGAAGGAACACCTTGGCCGATGACCGGCTGAAAGAACGGTTGGACCGGTCCGACTTTGCATCATCCTTGCTCTGCGCATCTCCCAAGACCGAAAGCCAGCGGTTGATTTCGCTCAGAAGCCTGACAACATTTCCGTCCCGCGCAAAGGGCTTCGGGTCGACCTTTGTCGCGATAAAGCGGTGCTGCGAAGCGATGCCCGGCACCTTCTTGTCGGCCTTTTTTGTGATCTTGACAAAGCCCTTGCGGTTGATCTCGCCAAACCACTGCAGATTCCTCAGCTGGCTTCTCAGCTCCAACAGCGCGCCCATGACCTCTTCAATCTCATCCTGATCCAGCGTCGCAACGACATCGGGCACGCGACCGTAGCGGTTCTGTAGGAGGTTGACTCGTCGGCAGGCCTCGGCGTACTTTTTGTTGTAGAAGGAGTCGACATCTTCGAGGTTACGGTCGAGGGCGAAGGAAAGCTCTGCGGAGGAAGCGCGGTTAGGGACAAGAGGCTCGGCCTCGACAGGAGATGAGAGAAGGACAGCCCACCTGCTGGATCTACCGTCTCGCCATTTCGGGCTTTTTCGGCAGCGGCCTTGACAATCTTCTTGAGGCCCTTGTAGTTGATGTAGGCGGAGGCCCATTCAGGGACCTGGTTTCGCGGGAGGCTTTGCAAGAGCGCGGTTTCAGTCAGTGCCGCCCGGCGGCGCCAATTGATCCCAAAGCAACTCACTTTCGTCCAAACTTCATGATGTCTTCTTCCCACACTACCGGCGGGTTCTACCTGTCGTCTTCGGCACTTTGGATGCTCCTCGTTGTTCTGTCTGCTCACTGCCGATTGGTCAGAACTGCGTGGGGGTTTTCTCCTGTCAGACGCCTGTCTTTTCCAAGCTCCTGTGCAGTAACTGTTGTATCGACGTCGGCCCAGAGCTTGGCAGTAGCAGGCGACGAATGGCAACACTCACCAAGCAGGAACAGGTTTCTGCCAGATTCGATAGCAAATCGGAAGCTAAACTAGAGAGAGAAAGAAAGGTCAGAGAATGATGGGGAGGGAAAAAGCTAAAGTCGTTGAAGGTGGTGAAAAGCAGCAAGATGCAGCGCAGACCGCGTGATGGATGATGACCAGCCTCCACGTTCCTCAACAGTCTCGAGATATGCGGGTAGCCGCCAAACAATCCGTGCCCCGGCGGCGCTGCGAGAGTTCTAGATTGCTCGAGAACCAAGGGGAGTGAAGCGATAATGGCGGGGAGTCCTCGTTGGTGCAAGGCAAGCAAACAGGGCGCGGCTTGCAGTAGTCGAGATCGACATACCTCGTCTATCGATGATAACCAGTTGACGTCTTGTCTATTGACCTTCCAGCACCAGCAGTGGATCACCCGTCTTGCTCTTGTTGCTCGCAGGGTCCAGCAGCAGCTCGCGCAGCGGCAGAGCAAAGTCTGGGGCGTCGGTCACCGGAGCAGCGCGACCGTATTTGAAGCTTTTCAGGGTCTTCGAGGGTGGTCTAGATGTCGACAAGGTTCATCTGACATGTGGCAGACGGGGGGCCACAAGAAGCGGGACAGGCACAGCGATGTTCGGAGCGTCTCGCCGCCTTTTTCTGCTGGGAGTCGTCTGGGGTGGCCAGAGTCGGGGTTGGCAACAAGGGAATGAAGATGATGAGAGGAATGAGGATGGTTCGAGAAGAGGTGAGAAGCAATGGAAGTGATTGACAAACCTCCTCTCCACCTCTAGTGGTGTAAGGCAGGCAGGTACCTTGAGGAGGCAACTTCCCAAGATGCAGCGAGAAGGTGCCCATATCAGGGCTCGAGTACAAGTACAGGTAACCTCCACCAACTGGCGATAACCCGTCAACCTCCACGCGAAGGCGACGTACCCGGGACATAATCCACCAGCCCACCTCCTCCAGCAAATCTATGAACAAACAGGGCAGCTAGAAAAGCAAAAAATAGGACCCTGAATCCGCCTCGGTGGAGCTGAAAAGAGCCCCAGTTCTCTTGGTTGCTTCGCTCCCCCTGAAAAAAAGCGATTTTCCTTGCAGCAAGACAGCAAAAGGTGCTTGAGCACATGGAGCACATGCGGCGCGTTGAGTGGACACTTGCAGCGCCTCGTGACTTGCCCGGCTCTGTCCTTCCGGCCTTGCCGCCGCCGCCACAGTGCGTCTGGACTGTATCCTCGGTCCACTGAGGGTCTGCGATATGGGAATCGCATCATACCTATGGTAGCTTGCATTGTTGGAGCTTTAATAGTCAATACTATGCTGGCAAGCTGGGTAGATTCAGAGGATACGGTATTGAAGACACTGTATGGCTTGGAACAACCTCGTGGCGCATTCCTGCGCTAACCTGCCGCCGTTTCTCGCTAGGCCTCGACTTGCCGTTCGCACTTTGTCTATTTTTGCTAGGTCCACGAGGTATCGAGAAGAATCGGAATTGGGTCCTGTCGATTATTACACAATCACCACGCGCGAGACCCATTGATTGGCATTCACCAAGTCCAAGCTATGATATAACCAATCAGTCATCCGTTCAAGGTACCTTATGCTCTATACAGTACGAAATGCCACTGGTTACAAGATATTACCAAACCCCCTACCTGATCCCCTCCCACCAGAAAGCGCCTATTGAAACACGCAGCTTGAGCACATGTTGCTCCGCCGCCAACCTTTATATATACAATGACGATACAGATACACCAATACTATAGTAGGCAGCATCTACCAGCAGCAGATACTAGGTAGTCCTTCGTCATCCGCTTCGCATCATCCTCTCAAAGCTCACGGCTATCTTTCGACACACGCCAGCTTCACTCTCTAGCGGGCTAGACCAAGCCAATAGCGCCTGCCTGAGCCTTGAATCTGTGGGCTTGTCTTCGTTGAAGCTCCCATAGGTGAAGAATCCCGATCCCGTGTTCTCAGAGCTCATCGACTTGTCGGCTAAAGGCCCTGTGGCGTCCTCCTTTTCGCTGGGCGGTTGTGGTGTTGGTTTGGCCAAGGTGCAACTCTCGATGAGCTGTGTCGATTCTCGGCTCAGCTGCTCGCTTCTTTGCATAGCCGTCTCGCCAATGTAGAAGGCCATCGAGACTCGAAAGGCGGGTGAGAAGTCGGGGTAGAGGAGCTTGCTCTCGATGGAAAGCGTCGTCTTTCTCACAAACTCGCACTCCTTCAATAGGCCCTCCAGCTGTAGCACCCGGCTCTTGGATCTGTCAGTCAATCGACTAGATCTGGACGCACCCTCCGGTAGGCCCTCCTCTTCGGCCAATGCGCTGAGGAGCTTGGCGTAAGCAGGGCCGGTGACCCTTACGCTGGCCAAAAGCGACTTGGGCACCTGATTCGGACCCCCAAGGCCACAGATGTCCAACAAGACACGGACTCGGTCGACAATGTAAGACGAGTTCTCGTCACCACCTCGGTAGCTAAGCAACCTCTGCAGTGCTGTTTCAGAACGTGCCAAGCCGTAGGCCATCCCAGCTGCAGCTTTCCAGTCCAGGGCGTTGATGCATTCATCAAAAAAGTATTTGACGGAGTCCAGGCTCAGTCTCACGCCGCATTGCATGCATGACAGGAGGAACGTCGTAGCTTGGTCAAATAGCTTGAAGTGAAGCAGCCCATTGAGGATTTCTTCCACCAGCGGCAAGGTCAGAGGCACATGGTCCCATATCCATTCACCGTTGAGAGTTCGACGTTTGGAATCCAGGGCCCAAGGTACAAGAGTCGGGTTCCTGTTGATGTCTGACACATGTCTCCGGCGAACTTTGGCACCGGTTCGACTGTCGATCCCGGTGATGCATGCGAGAGCCCGGAGGAACTTTCCATGATTGTTGGTGCACTGGTAATGATTCAAGATGGCGATGAAGGTGGAGGGTGTAGGTTGTAGCAGCCGGTCGTGGAAAAAGGAAGCCACCAGCGCTTCGGCGAACGAGTGGTAACCCGACTTGTTGAACGCAACAATGAGCGTGTTGTAGGTGTGGACGTCGGGTGGGTGAGAAGAGATGAGCAGATTATAGCAGATCCTGCCAATCTTCTCCTTCATATTAAGATGTGAAGCAGCAACCAGGGCTCTTAGACGCTTGTTCAGCAATATGGTGTTCTCTTGAGCCCTGACGGCATCAATTGATCGGAATGTGAAGGCTGGACTCCCTTCTTTCAACAGAGTCTGAGCTTTTTCCAGCGACGGCGCCGACTCGCCTTTGGCATAGAATCTTGACCGTTCCAAGAGTTTCCGCACCAGGGCTTCTGTGTTCATGGATTCGCGCAGCAGCTGGACCTGATTCCGGGATTCTCGGTAGAATCTTCCCGTATCGCCCTCTTCCCGCATGATTGCGCTCTCGAGCATCTCGTAGTCCAATTGCCTCTTTGCACTGCGCAGCCGACCGCTCGAGCAGCCATAGTATTCGTGTTTGAGAGCTTCGATGAGATCGCATTTGCTGATGGTTGCCGGCTGGTGTATTTCCTTCATGTACGGGCGGCTGGCGTATATCTTCTTCAAGCTCCTCCACAGTTCGTCCATCTGTCCAAGGGCGAGCCATCGGTACCTCGAGTCGAGATCCGAGCTGTGCGATTGCCGGCCGTCCTGGAGATCGGCAATCTCCTTTCGAACCTCGTCCAGCTGACGATCCAGCTCCCTGCGGCGGTCATCCTTCCGTATGGCATCCACCAATGCCGCCGTGGCAAACATGGAGCTGTAGCATGCTGTGAAGAGCTCGGCGAAGGTCGGCTTGCGGCGGACGGGGGCCGGTCTCTTGCCCAGGGTGTTGATGGCGCTGCTGCAGGCTTTGCACCCGCCGCGCGGAGCCTGTCCGGCCCTGGAGAGGATCGTCTGCATCAGGGAGGCATCTGTAGGCGGGCTCGATGAGGTCGAGGAGCGGCAGAGCCGGTTGTGGCCGTCAATTGGTGTCGAAGCTCGCTGTGTCAAAGCAATGCGCCGAAAATCGAACGATGCTCCCACTTCCGTGAGGTTTCCACGGTCACGTGATGAGATTCCAGCTTCCCCCACCAAGACAGACAGCTCTCTTACATCTCCAATTACCTCAGGACTCAAGATTCAGTGTGAACTTGGCGGCTTGTCATTTTCTGTGACTTTAATTCCTATCTCGAGCTTTCTCTACATATCGAAGCTTTAATCTCAACAACCATGTTTGCTCTCACACTGACCGCAGAGCTGTCGGGGTTTGTGCCTCTGTATCTGCCCCGCGATCTCACAGAATGTTCACTCACAGGCAATTAGCGTAACGAATCTGCGCCCTGACGATACGCAGGACAACCCGTTCTGGTACATGTTCAAGGTCCAGTGTACGTCTTGCAGAGAGACGCATGACAACTATGTTGGCGTGAATCGATTTGTGAGTTTAACCGATCTCTCTTGTCCTCCTTTTCCTCCCCAGTTACTGACAAGTGGACTGCGTAGGAAACAAATGAGATGAGTGGCAGCAGGGGTGAAGCCAACTTTGTCTGGAGATGCAAAAACTGCAAGGTAAGCTCATACAGTCCTTGACAGAGCAATCCCGACCTATTCTCACATGTGATTTCATAGCGAGAGTCTTCTGCGACGATCAAAACAGCTCCTGCAGCTTACGAACAGGCCGAGCCTCCCAAGGCGCAGAAGCTGTTTGAGTTTGACTGCAGAGGGTTGGAGTTTGTAGAGTTTAAGCCAGAGGTACGTGAACTGCTTGATGACTGCGTTGACATTGATCCCAGACTAACGATTGACCTCAACAGGGCGACTGGCTGGCTGATGGAATCGACTCGGGCACCAAGTTCACCGGCATTGACCTGACAGAGGGGGAATGGTTTGACTATGACGAAAAGGCGGGCGAAGAGGTCAGCATCAAGGAGCTGGTATGGGAGATTAAGAGAGCGTAAATGTACAACATGCAATTGAAAGCAGTGAAAACACATCCAACAGCTCTCATGTAAGGTAAAGAGAGGTTCACGTCATGTTGGGAGGGAGAGCGCCCCATTAATTGCACTCCCGCCAAATGGCTGGATTTAGGTAGACACCCCTGCCCCACTCACTGTCCATCACGGTTCCTGGAGTTGAAAGCTTCAACTTCTCCCCCTACTTTTGATTTCATCAGGAAGCGTCTCTGCCAGCAGCCCTCAACATGGCCGCTGTTGCCGCAAACGCTGCCGCAAATGCTCCGGCAATCACTTTTCTCACTGATGCCGCGCATCTGCTCCGAATGGCAGCTCCCGAGACGTCGGCGCATCTGCTGAGCCAGAGAGCAGCGCTTCTCTACTCCAACGACTTGACGCCCTCGGATCTCGAGCGACAGCATGTCTGCGCAGCCTGTGGACACATTATGATTCCGGGACAAGGGACGCAGCTGAAGCTCGAGACGCTGAGGGCATCGAGGAAGAAGGCAGCGCGCACAAAAGCATCGAAAAGCCCGACGTTGACGAGAAAAACGCAGCCGCCAGCGAAACCGCCACAGCGGTCCAAAGACTTTACCTGCGGTCTCTGCGCCCGAGTCACCAGGATTCCGCTGCCGGCTCCGGCTCCTATCTCGCGCCAGAAAGCTGCCAAGGCAAAGGCAAGGATGCAAAAGGCTGCGGAAAGTGTTGAGGCCCCAAAACCCGCCACAGCCAACGCGAGCAGCAAGAAGCGCGCCAAAAATCGCAAGGCGGGACTGCAGGCTCTGCTCTCTGGCCAGCAGCAGCGCCCATCGAATCCGCTGTCGCTCGCAGACTTTATGATGAAATGAATCGACTCAACGACATACGACAACATCAAAAACATCACATGATCCCTCAAGAAAATCAGCAGCGATGAGAAATGACTGGCAGTAGATGCACTCTCGCATCTGGCGTCTCTCGGCTCGTCAGGATGCGTCGGGAATGTTCTAGCGCAGGCCCTGCATGACATAACCGCAACCATTTAATTGCCCCTCCAAAAAATTCGGAACCCCGCCGTCACTCAAAAACACTGCATTTTGCGACAACCTTCATTTTTTTCCTGTTCTCTGTATACACAATAATCAGATCAATCATGGCTGCCGAAAGCGAAAAGCAAACATTTTTCGAGCCCATTGGCGCAAAGGCGCAGGGCCTCTCAGCTGCCACAAATGGCACCGTTGACGAGGACGACGTCAAGCCCGTGGACGAGATCGAATCCCTCTGCATGAACTGCCACAAGAATGTGAGTCGCTACCCTCTGCAGCATCCTGAAGGATGTTTTGATTCATAGGCTAACTGGATGGAAAGGGCATCACAAGACTTCTCCTTACCCAGATCCCTTACTTCCGCGAGGTCGTCATCATGTCCTTCTCCTGCGACCACTGCAACTTCCAGAACAACGAGATCCAGCCGGCCGGAACCATTCAGCCCAAGGGCACGCACTACGAGCTGCGACTGACCGACCTCGCCGACTTCTCTCGCCAGGTCGTCAAGTCCGACACCGCCACCGTCAAGTTTATCGAGATCGACCTCGAGATTCCCGCAGGCCGCGGCCAGCTGACAAATGTCGAGGGCCTGCTTACGGGCGTCGTTGACGATTTGGAGATGGGACAGGAGGAGCGAAAAGAGAAGGCCCCCGAGGTCTACGAGAAGGTGGCAGAAATCATCAAGAAGTGCAGGGCCATGCTGGCAGGAGAGTCATTCCCCTTCCGCGTCTACGTCGACGATCCCGCCGGCAACTCCTTCATCGCACCCGACCTCAAGGACGGTGTTGGCAAGTGGGAGAAGCACGAGTATGCGCGAACGCCCGAACAGAACGCCGCCCTCGGGCTTGCAGACAGCGATGGCAATGCAGAGGACGGGCTGAAGAACCCCGGCCTCACCGAGGACGGCGAGATTATCCCAAACGAAGTCTACAGCTTCCCCGCCACATGCCCCGGCTGCATGCACAACTGCACGACACACATGAAGATGGTTGACATCCCCCACTTCAAGCAGGTGGTGCTCATGTCAACCGTCTGCGACGCCTGCGGCTACCGCTCCAACGACGTCAAGACGGGCGGCGAGATTCCCGAATACGGCGAGAAGATTACCCTCCAGGTGGACGGCGAGGTCGACCTGGCACGCGACATTCTCAAGAGCGAGACTTGCGGCCTCGAGTGCCCCGAGCTGGAGCTGCATGTCAACCCAGGCACTCTCGGCGGCCGCTTCACTACCGTCGAGGGCCTCCTGACGCAGGTTCGCGACGACCTGCACAGCCAGATCTTTGAGGCCGGCGAGGGCGCCGGCGACTCATTGAGGCCTGACGAGAAGTCTCAGTGGGAAAAGTTCTTTGCCAACCTCGATAGCGCCATTGCTGGATCCAAGCCTTTTACTGTCATTCTGACCGATCCGTTTGCCAGCAGTTATGTCCAGTCGCTGGTTGACCCACCGTCGCCTGATCCCAAGATCCAGAGGGAGAAGTACACAAGGACAGAAGAGGAGGAGGAGGAGCTTGGATTGAAGGATATGAAGACTGAAGGCTATGAGGCGCCCGAGAAGGAGGAGACGGAGGGTGAAGCCAAGCCGGAGGCTGAGGCCAAGACGGAGTAAATGTTTTCGTTATGATGATGAGAATGATGTAAATTTGCCTTGTTAATGCATTTTTGGAATGGGGTATATATCGGTCGCATAATTCGGAAGAAATAAATGGTCGGTTCATTCCTACACATGATACCTAGTGCGATGTGATCAAGCATGGTGGACATCGTTGTGTGGTGATGACTTGACAGATCGTTTCACGGTTTCACATCGCGATTTGGACAGAGAGCAATCTCTACATACTGAAATAAACCAAACCACTCCTCTGCCTCAACCAATATACCATGCTCTTACAGCCTTGTTACAGTGCCAGTTCCAACCAAAGAAAGAAAAGGAAAAGGAACACGTGAATAGGTACCCTAGGTCCTGGCGGCTGAGATGCTTAGTCAGTGCACGGGGACGCACTTTGCGCTCTGCAGCGTCATCACAATGAACGTTTGTGTCTGGTGGTGTTGAGTAGCCAGCCAACTTGGGGTGCTGAAAAGCCACTCCCCATACTATGGAGATGCCTCAAGGTTAAGCATGCTTGGCTTGGGTCAAAGAAGCGTTATTGTCGCAACGCAATGCAATGCGCTACCTTTGCCTGCAGGCTTTGCATTGTGTGCGTTTGCATGGTTTTCGATCATGAAGTCTAACTTGCCAATAAATGGTTTTGTATTCTGCTGTAGGTGTATGGCGAAGTTGCTCTTGACGGTGAACTTATCTGGTGGTATGGCCCGCATCTGTCCAGAAGGGATTCTCGTCTGTTCAAACTGGACGATTGGAGTTGTATAACGCCAAAGCCTGGGTTCAGACCTTCATATACTGTCTTACGCCTCGAATAATCAACTTTTAGATCGTCATTTGGGTCGCGATTGCTCGTCGTCTTGATCCATAGACGATTGCCGAAGCATCCGCCTCTCCCTCCTTCCCCCTGTCGTAGAGAGAGCCGGGAGAACTGCTAGCTGCCTACCAATCGATTCGATTCACCGACTGCCATGCCTGATCTTTTAAAACAGCTTAATCTTTCAAAACAGCTGATTTGCTTACCACGCATATCACTTGTCATTATGTTAAATTCCCCCATGCATGGTTGCCCAACTCGACGTTGTCAAACTTCATTTGTGTGGGTTGACATGCTTACCCTGGGCTATCAACGCCGCAAAGGGATGACTACACCTCCAATCTGTCAAAAGCCGTCATATAGGTATCCCGGCTCTGGGATAGGCTCTGGGATGAAGCACTAGCTTCTGGCAGTCACGCTACAACTATATCGAATGAAGACTGTCCGACAAGAAAGCTGTCCCAATGCCATCAACTGTGAGTGGTGTACATGGTGATATTAAGTGTCCGCGAAATTCGGACTCGCCCAATTTGGTAACTTGCCCAAATAGGAAAAGATGTTCAGGGTTCTCCGTACAGTACGCAAGACCAGTACCTCTATTCCTATAGTAATCTTGCCCACACACAGGTACTCCCTTTGCACGCAGAGTCGCAGCACCACCACCACAGCCTCTGCGCGATGCATCTCAGAGTCTAGGTAGTTGCACACACCCCGCCATTGAGAGCATCACTTTTTTCTTGTCTACTAATCGTAGAAATTGGGTTGCATTGTGCAATTGATTGATGTACTGGCCAGCTGGCGGTACGATGGCCGACCATTCCCATAGTAGAGTAGTGCGGCGCTAATCCGGTGGAACCCGACGGGCTCACCCTGCCTAGCGCAACCCGAACCTCGGAAGTGGGGCATCAACAACGACCGGCCTCCGTACAGCAAAACAGCCACCAAGCCTCCAGTCCTTGATATACTACAATAAGACAGTCTCCCTCAACAAGGAATAGCGAGTCTGGCCGAGCGGTTAAGGCGATGGTTTTAGGAGGAAGGAGCGACCTGCATCTACCTCGAACACCATTGGGCATGCCCGCGTAGGTTCGAATCCTACGGCTCGCAGAACTTTCGATGTCTTTTTTTGCTCTCTTCTTCGTCACACTGGGTCTTCCCCTCTTCTGACTCGCAATCACGTGTCAGACTCGACGTACCTCCCCTCTCTATTCACTCGGTTGGTCGCTCCTGCCACCATTTGCAAGAATTGGCCTTGTGACGGCTGGAAATCCACCCCACTTGAAGCTATCGCGAGACAACACACTGGCGCCACACCACCCGAGTATCCTTCACTTTTCGCACCTTATTCGCAATTTGTCATGGCGTAGGGCACAGGCTCGTCAACTTCACATGATACGGTTCTCAAATTGCTCATTATTGACAGTCCCAGTATTAGTATATGCCACAGCAAGAATAACCCGCTGCAGACGAGAGAGACACCTGGATGCTTTCGAAGCATACTGAACCCTTCGAGAGAAACCAAGAAGTGACTGATTGGCCAATCCCAGATCACCCGGCTCATGCCTTGATTGATTTCCTCTTGCTACACTCTCTGTTAGGATGGTTGGAGATTATCTACAGGTTGTCTCCCAATGAGGAAACAGACGCACCCTCCATCTAGAACCCTCCATGTCGGTAGTTGTAATACCTACCATATTCTCAGGTATATTATTGTTGAGAGCGTTGTGAGAGTCTTATGGTGCACCCGATGGTAGGCGACCGCTGCTAAATCTCGTTTGTTTCATGTCTTTAATTGTTGGATAATGCTTGTTGAGAAGCCTTTCCTTCCTACCCCATGTTTTCCTTTTACTTCTTTTTTTCCTCTTCTCCCTTTTTTCTGCTTCTTCACAGTTTCTTCTTGAACTATGCTTTTCATTCTACCAGGTATTGCTGAAATGAGAGAAAACATTGCAATGAAGCCCGACACTCTCATTCCGATGTCAACACACGACCGCCCTGCCTGGCCCGAGTCACTTGTTGCCGCAACTGACCTGGACCATATAGGTTCTGGCACCCGCACCCACGCTCTGGTAAGTAGAGTAGTTCTTGCATTCACTTTCGCTCATTGCATTCGCACTTTGTTGTTGTTCATCACGACACCTGAGTCCAGTGCCTTGATTGTTTTGTGTTCATCACTACGTTTCCCTGATAGAAGAGATGTTGTTCCACTCTCCTCTCTTACACTACCTAATATATTACACGCAAAGGAGCTGCAAACGGCGTGATTCCTCATTGACTGCCATGTGTATCGAATATCACTTCTTTGAAGGATCTCAAGCGGTCCCGTCAAAGCATTTGTCAATAGGCCAGACAAAGCCCCCCTCTATCAACGGCTTCAGAGCTTTAAGATTATAATGCTTTTACCATACAGCTTGTTAATCACCCACCATCATCTGTCCCTCGTGCAGTAGAGCTGCCTCTCGTCATTATTTACAGCGCGAGAATTTGCACATAGCATAGCTATACATGTTCGTCAAGGGCGGCAGCTCTGCTAAAGCACATGGCAATGACAGTGAGTCAACCCCAACGGTTTACCTAGTGACGAACTGGCGTACAGTCGCGAAACTGACGCGGTTCCCAAGGTCCAGTGAATGCAGTTTGCGCACGGGCCCGCTGCTCTTGAGTTTGGGAATATCTCGATTCTCCCAAATGACGCCCCCGAAAACCGAACCCTTCTCTTCCAAGGATTCTCGTCATATGCTCGTTCGACTATTCTGCCCATCTTCACCACCGTTTTTGACAGACTTTGTCGTCTGTCTCGTATCATCCGTTTCGTCGTTGATCTTGTGACAAATTGTTCTGTTGCCCTCGCACGAGGCTGGTGTTTTCTGTTTGTTCAGTTGGTCGGACACAGAAGAGGTAGGAATCTGTGGCGGAGGAAGGGATCTCTTCTTCGCCAGCTGTTTTTTTTAAAACTCTGGTACGCTTCCGGTTTACCGTTAGCTAAAGAGTGAACGGACTCTGGTGCAGTGCCCGACCTCCACCATCACCTCGCAGGTTTTCTGTTGGTCCAGTTGGTCGGACACAGAAGAGGTAGGAATCTGTGACTGAGGAAGGGATCTCTTCAAACCATTCCTTTTCGAAGGCTGGTATATCTTTCGGTTCACCGTTAGTGGTAGAGTGAACGGACTCTTTCGCAGTGCTCTCCCTCCACCATCATCTCGCAGGTCTCTGTTTGTCCAGTTGGTCGGACACAGAAGAGCTTGGAAACTGTATCTGAAGAAGGGATCTCTTGTAATCTGCCCTTCCTTGAAGGCTGATACTTTCGGTTCACCGTTAGTGATAGAGTGAACGGACGCTTGTGCAGTGCCCTTGCCGTTACCTCGCAGGTGCAACGGCAAAATGTCCGAGTCAGTGATGGAGAAGGCTCCCGAGGTGATGAAGGCTCCTAAGACCGCGACGGAAGCAATGGATGCTGCTGTATTGTATGTCCTATTCCCCAACCCCCCTTGCCATTGTCTTCATCCTCATTCTCTTCCTTCTCCTCTCCTTTTGTTGATGAGCGTCGTGTGCTATGCTGACATTGGATTCTGCAGGGTTGGCAATGAGCTCGGCCCTGTCATTGCCTGTGGTCTAACCTTGGGCATGCCCACCAAGATCACGGCCAAATTTTGCTCCTTCAAGGCAACAGACCTGGATCCATAGATTGGACTGAGTCTCTATGTCCCCGTGGGCAACAACAACCAAAGCAGCAATGAAAGACGAGGCTTTGGGGTCCGCCATTTTTGTGAGTTGATTCATCCAAAATATCAGTCTTTCTCATACTGACATGGTTATAGTTGATCCAAGTCTGGGCGGTGGTTCTGTGGTCCCGGCTGATCGTATTCGCCTCACCGTCCGATTCCCCAGAGATGGGTGCAGCTGGGCCTATGAGGAAGCTTCAATACCTCTTCTTGACCGATTTCCTGACGCCAAGGGCCGTGAAAAGGGCCTCACTGTTATTCGGGTTAGCCTCGCCAACGAAGCTCGCATCAAAGTCACTGGTTTCGGCATCCCCTTTGCAAACACGGATGATCCTGAAGTGGAAGGCTGGATGAATGACAACAAGCCCATCGCCGGCGACGCAACTCTTCTGGGCTTCTTGAGACAAAGAATGTTCCACATCCTCGTCCCAATTGCTCCTGCTGTCGCCAGCAAGAGGTTTTCCGTGGAGAGGCTGCCACCGCCATTCATGTATCCATACGGCACAGACCAAAGATGGGACGTCGGCAAGTTCAAGGACTTGATCAAGAGCAAAAAAGGCCACCAGTTCAGAGAGGTCTATAGGTGAGTATTCTATGCCCTTTCCTGGCTGGACCGAGGCTAACAGTTTTGAAGCCACGACGACGACAACCACCACATGACCGCCGTAAATCAGAATAATGTGCAAGATGTCATGTGGCTCGACGATGCAGCTATCGAGGTATGTAGATTGCCATCGCCCCGGCTTCTTCTCTGGCTCTTAGTCCCCCTTTCAGACATGAGACTAACATTGAAAAGATCGCGACAATCAAGTTTCCCGCCTACTTCGTCCGCCCTGATCCCGAAACTCCCACGGCCGACACTGATGTCTTCTTCGTTGTTACCGCCATACGAACATGGTTTGCGAAAGAGCACGACAAAGCCTGGGCTCGCCTGAGCAAGAAAGAGCCAGTATTGCTTCATCTATATGGCCGCCCCGAAAACAGTGAGCCAGACGCCATATGGTATGTTCCAACTCTCGCTTCATGAGCTGCTGAGTCCTAACCCCGGCGACCCTAGGAAATGCAAGATTGTCGACCGCCCAACCAAGGAGCCTGCTTTAGCGCTCCATAGCATCCAGAAATCGGATCTGGTTCTCGAGGTCCATCGGCCGAAGCGAGCGGACAAGTATGCAGGCTTCGTTGTCAGGGACTTTGCTTGTCGTGAAGAGGCAAATGATGCGCTGGAGCAAGGGATCGAGCAATGGCACCGTGTCAGTCTCTGTTTCGACGCCGGGCTACGAGACTGCAAGCGGAGAGTCGAAGCCGTGTCCCTCTTCCATCCCCTCGCAGAGCCATCCAACCCTTTCCGATGGGGACTGCCAGATCCGAGTATGCCAGCCAAAGCGCAGGAAGCCTTCAAGGGCAAGGACAAGGTCACCTTGACGCGGGAAAGGGCGCAATTGATGGACAGAATGGAGCTTCACCGTGCTCTTGTTCGCGGAAACGGCTTCTACGACTGGATGATTGCGAAGCATGCGACGAGATCCAACGTCGACGCCACATCATCTCCCTCCGTGGTCGACGCCGACATCACGTATCGCCAGTTGCCTTGCGCCAATTTCCTGGACTTTGGAGATGCTGTCCGTGCTGAAGCGATTGTCAACGAGGCGCTCCCGCATGATCGTGACCGTTTCCGTGCATACCTGAGCAAGCGGCCTCTTGGATTCGGGATAATTGCAGGTGTAGGTCACCTCTTCCACCATTGTTCACATTCAAACTAGGTAGCTAACTGTCTGAACAGGGCCCAGGTACTGGAAAGACCACAGCAGGTGCAGCAGCAACAGCAGCCATGGTGGAGAGGTATGGCCGAGTCTTGTGCTCTGCTCCGAGCGACGCCGCCGTCGACAACTTTGCCGCTCGACTGGACACGAGGACACGCGCCATGACCGAGGCCTGCAACCGAGGCAACGAGCAGAGCGGCTCAAAGCGCTACCGCCATCGGCTTGTCATCAGAGCGTACCATCTGAGCGCCGAGGTAGATGCTTTCAATGCCTTGCTCAAGGATCCGAAGCTGGGCGACGAGGCAGCTCCAAAGGGATGGGAGCCCCGATGGATGCTTCATCTGTCTTTGGCCTTTTGGTTCCTGGCTGTCCTTGGCTCCCCTGCTGTCAGGAAGTTGCACCCAGATGACAGTCAAGACCTATGGGATCTGCGCCAGCAAGTTGACAGCACGGAGCCGGATCTTGAACGCTTGCGGGACGTTGCCACGGGAGTCACTACCTGGGAGCAATACGAACAGGAGGGCCCGGTTCTGGACAAGACAATCGAGTTCTACTTGCTCCGTCTCCTGCCATACGCCGACATGCTCTGCATAACGCCCGCAGAAAGCGAGGATGTCGCCATGTACCGAGCCTAGAAGACTCGAGTCGCTCGCGGCATTGCGGTAGATGAGGCGGCTGCTATGGACCGGGCAGACCTCTACTGCGTCTGGGGCAACACATGTATGCCATGCGTCATGTTCGGCGACCCGCAGCAGCTGTCTTCAACCGCCTTGACAACCTTTGAGAGAGATAGTGACGGCAATTTCCTCAACCGGTTCGCACAGACCGGGTCGATACCGGCCCTGGTCTTCCTCCAGGCGACTGGCTTTCCGGTGTACCGGCTCACAACCCAGCTGCGTATGGCCAATGGTCTCTTCGACGCCACGTCCAGGGTCATCTATCCAGGCGTGCCCCTTGTCTACGCCAGCAGCTGCGATATCGCCAACGATGCGTTCAGCGCTGGAAGAGCCCTGGAGAGCTACATCCAGGAAAAGTACCCAACCGTCGGTGTCTGTCCCGAGAACAAGCTCCTCCCCGTCTTCATCCATACGCCAGGATCCAGGGTCTTCACCTATGCTACCACAGGCGCGAAGATGAGCCTCGACCAGGTCAAAATCGCGCTGGACTTTCTCCTGGATCTGGTCAAATCAAAGCCCGACATCAAGCCGTCCCAGATCACCATCCTATCGCCCTACTCAGCAAACGTCCACATACTCGAGAAAAAGCTGAGAGGGAGTCACAAGTACGAGGCACTCCAGGGCATGTCGCCGCCGTCGACAGTCCACTCGTTCCAGGGTCAAGAAAACGACATTGTCGTTGTCGTTATGGGTACCGTAGCCCGGAGTCTTGGGCCTGGCTGTACCACCCAGAAGCGACTCCTCAATGTGATGATGACACGGCATCGATCTGGGCTGGTGGTAGTTGGTAACATCAATGTCGCTGGGGACTTGCTGGATGGCGACGGCAACAGGGTGCGCGCGGGCTGGACAAGTAGCGGGAACAAGAGAATCGTGACTCAGGGCGCCCATGGCGAACTTCGTTACGCCAATGTGTCGACGCTCCTCAAGGTTCACAAAGCGTTTTGTCAGACTGGCCGGGTCATTATCATCCCAGTCGCTACAGAGGAGACGGATGTCGAGGTTGTTGAGGTTGAGGCTGGGCCAGCTCCTGCTGAGTAGATACGAGTTGCTAGGTACATAGATGTAACATCGAAGTTGTCTGATACTGAAATGATTACGGTGTAAATGGTTTACAGCAGGTTCGGCAGCAAAGACTCTTTTGAAAGCCATCCTGTAAATACCCTTGAGCCGAGTGGACGTCAATCACTGGAGGAAAACGAAGGGGCAAGACGGTTCCATTTCTGGGGCGGATGAGAGCTAAACTTGACGCTGGGGAGTCAAAGATTATGCCAAGCGTGTGCTGGAGGCGGAGACGGAGGCAAGACGATGTTGCGAGGCACGAGTGATGGTCATGAATGAACTGTGAGCATCGTACTCCAAGCTCTACCCGACAAGATATCGATCATAGTAGCAGAGTTAACCTCTTACGGGATTGCGAAAGATGAATTGTCAGTCTTGTGGATTCAAGTAGGCAGAAACTATGAATCGTGTCCTGAATCAATGAAGCGTAGGCAGATCAAATGAGATCATGACGAATATGTTGGCTCATTGTGTAGGGCTCCAAGGTTGGCGATGATTGGAAATCTCAAACAAAACAGTGTCGACTGTCTTGAAGATTGAGCATTTGTGGGCCCTGCAGCTCACGGCATCCCTTGTTACCTTTCTTCTCTCCTCTTGTTGAAGACTGTCGTTTATTGTTTGGTAGATCGCTTGACTATCTTTTCTTCAGTGTTTCTCGAGGGCTCTACAGCGATTGCAGTTTGCAGCATCGTTGGGCCAAATTCACCGTCACGTGTCAGTGTTGACGTAGCACTTGTCTTTTTTGCATTTGATAAAGGTACGTACACACGGCTTAAAATCCACCCCCACTTTGATGATACCGCGATAGAGCGCATCGGCATCACTTGGACTGAGTTTTCTACACTTTTCTGCATTTCTATCTCACTTTGCGACGGCTTTTCGCTGGCACACCTGCTGCTTTTCTGATCAAATCTTATCTGGGAGCACGCGAGAAAACTTTGACTCAGACACGATTTCTTTCGAGACACTTGGAGGATTTCGATAGAGCGCTTCAAAGCCGAGCAACTTCACCCTGGGGCAACTTTAGCATCTTCCTTCTGCCCTTCAACTGCCCAACGCCGAGCCACGCTTGATCTCATCTCATACGACGTCATGCCCTTTGACGACGACGACAGCCCGCTGGCAGCGGGCCCAGTCGCCGCAGACGGCGAAGGCGGCGCCGCGACAGTAGAGGAAGCGCTGGAGGACGACATGCCCGACTACAAGCTGTTCGCTGCCTCCTTCACCAAGAAGGGCGTCTCCAGCCAGACGATCCGCAAGGGTGAAAAGGACTTTGAGACACACGGAACCAAGGCTCAGGTTGGCGCTCTGGAGTCGAGCCGGCGGGCGCTCGAGGACGTGCTCAGCTACACGAGGATACACCGAGGCGATGCCTGGTCACGAGGCTGGTGCTTTCCGGATTTTTGGACAGATGAGGCCAACGTTGCGGTGGACTACGAGGGCATGTGGCTCAAGGACCGGGTGGTGGTGATGGAGCATGAAAAGGGAGGCTGGATGAAGGATATCGGGCGAGTGGCTTCTGGGAGCAAAGACCAGCTTGGCGTGGGAAGGCTATGGCTTCTGCCGGAAGAGGCCATCTATCTCGTTGAGAGAGGCACTGTCGACCTGTGGTGGCCGTATACCGACTTTGAAACCCTCTTACCGAAGGGGAGCACCAGCGGAGGCGCACCTCGACCAGGGTTTGGGCCTGACGACTACGATGTTGGATTGCCGTTGAGTCTCGAAGCTGCATATTCGCTCTTCATCGGTTTTGAAGACGAACAGGGCAAGACAACACTCCCAAAGTACCAAGTTTACGCGCACCTGAAGCGAGCGGGATTCAATATACTCAGGGCACCGCCAGAACCACCCAAACAAGACGCTACAGAGCCGTCACAGACACTATGGCAATGGCTCTTCTCCTTTGTCAAGCCAGAGACATTTCACTTGGGGAAGCAGCGGCAATCACCATTTGGCCCGCTTGTCGCCCCGGGCTTGTACCGCGCCTACCGACCGATATACCAACAACTGGCTCTCATTCCTCGACACAAGCCGCTGCCTGTGCCGCCACACCCATCCCAGCCGGAGGATCCTTTCCGGGTGCATTTCCATGTGTGGAAGCCCGGCGCCGGTGGGTTCTCCAAGAAGAATCCTCCGCCCCCAGACTTTCGCATCGCCGTGGCGGACACGGCAGACTCGTGTCTCCCCACGCTGGAGCAAATCGAGTCGTTACTTGAGTCGACACCATACGATCCTGCGCCCGAGGCTTGGAGAGGAAATCCAGGCAAGCTGTATCAGCGGCTGAAGCACGGACACAGAAACGTCATCGTGGCCGTGGTGGACAGGGGACTGGTCAACTTCATGAGATTTGGAGAGGGCGCATTTGGCGAGGAGCAGCTGTTTGAGAGATTTGATAACCGCAACGCTGGACGGGGTGGTAAGAAGGGCGGCCGCGGGGGTGGTCGCGGGCGCGGGCGAGGCAGAGGTCGGGGAAGAGGAGGTCGGTGATGGGATTGAGGAGAAGGATTACTTTACTTAGAAACTGGGCGATCAGGAATATCTAGGGAAGGAGTTGTGGGTAGGGGCGTTTTACAGCTAAGGTAAGGTAACGAATATCGACATGTTTTTCGGAATCCTACCGCTTACTCGACCGGTAAGGCTGCGTCTTGTTGTAACAGGGCGGCCTAATAGGGGCAATTGCTATTTCTGTCTCTTCTTTAATCATTCATATAGTACCATGGAACACAGCTCATCCTTACAAAGTGACTTATGAAAATATTTCTCATAAGGAACGGAGTCATGAGGTGGGGGAGGATTACCATCCTCATTAAGGATGGCACACGTCTTTAGATCTTCATATTTCAGAGGCATCTTTGTAATGATCCTCAGAATTAGAGCGTTCAGGCTATCACGATCGGGCAGACTGGGTTTTCGTATAAATGAAACCGTAAACAATCTGTGGGCTTCCTGGCAGGTTGTAAGGGATTTGTCGCCCCAGAACCACAGACAGTAACGGTGCCCGGTAAATATCTAGTCACAAAGTAAATAAACGCCTGAATGGCAAGACGGAACGAGTCATGGAGCTCCTATCTGCAAAAAAATTCACTGAGACGGGCAACAAGGATAGAAGAAACGTGATAGTTCACATTAGCTGGCATTGTGTTTCGCAAATGGCAGTCATGATTCCAAATGATTGACAGCCTGATTGATGCGATTACGGCACATCGCTCGTTGCTTATTTCGTACAAGTTTGCTTGCTGATAAAGAGGAGCTTGGAACGAGAGAGGATGAGAGAGCGTCATGCTGATTATACGGTTTAGGAATTATTTGTTTCGGCATTTGTTGTTTGCGCGTACTCGTACTAGGATGGACAGATTTGGATCCTGGGCGGCTTCCCAAGAGGGGAATGACAGGCGATGAGTATAGTACATATTGTTGACGAACGTGCTCTAGTCGATGCACAATTTTCTTAACTTGGACATATTAATCTTCGGAGAAAACTAAACATCAGGCTCGTTATCGAGATATCGCCTCCGTATCGCCGAAATGGTTGTGAGGCACACAACGACTGGGCGTTTTCAGCAGAGTGGAAGTACAGTAAGTGTTTGAAGCCACGAGAGTTACGATAACCCCATGTTCTCGTATTACTTTAATCTCTGGCGACTATTCTTGCCAATGATTACACATCGTATAGCAAGAAGACAACATGCCCTCCCCGGACTCACTAGGACTTCCCCACCGAAGGGGGAATGCTCCGTAGCTACAACTACACCCCCCTGTTTCTTCTATTATTCGGGAGAGGGCGCAAGCGTAATATTCTGTGAACTGAACAAGTAGAGTTCCAGAGTATAAAGGGCAAAGGAAGGGGAAAAAAGGCGGAGAGATCCACACGTCAGATTGGTGGCCCGCCGCAGCACTCGAATGACTGACTGAACGCTTGAGAATGAGGTGGAAAGAAGTGACACTTGTTCGTTTCAGGGAAACGCTGACATCTTGAGCGGTATAGTGCTCTACTGCTACACCCAAGGGGCAGTGAAGGAGACGTGCTGTTAACACTAGGTGTCAATCAAGGAGATCTCGGGAGGTCTGAGGCCTGGAGGTTGGCTGTTGAACCAAGGAAATGTGGTCTATTGTAAATCTGTCCGAATTGCTCAGACATTGATGAGCACATGAAGTGATCATGATAGACGACGAATGAAAGTATAAACTGTTGTAGGAGAGCATGGGCTACGGATGATTAGTAGTCTCCCAGAGACGATGTGGTAATCCTGGTGTTATCACAGAGCACAATCTTACTGTCCCATTGTATTGCAAAGTGCATGAGCAGCGTGCAAAGCCGTAGACATGTGTTAGCCTTTGCATGCCAGATTCCAAAGAGCGCGTCAATACCTACCTACTAGTAGGTAGTTTAGAAAGAGAAAAGGCCGAAGGGTACATCCGGAGTAATGCGGAAATATTTCCTCCGTTATCCCACAACTGCTCGTCACATCATTACTCTTGCTCCCGTAAGCACGACAGCTGCTGTAACTCATGGCGAACAAACATTCGGAATATTTGTTACATGTACTTGCTCTGTCAATGAGATACAGTCTCCCCCATTCTCTCTCTGGTTATGGGGTTTGGAGTCTTAACTGCTATGGTGTAAGCCCAGTCATGATGACAAGTTGCGGGCATTATTTTGTCTTGGGTCGTTGGAGATACTAGTATTCTCCGCTTCGGAGAGCTTGAAAACGGCGAGCAGGACGTGAGTTTGTCAAAGCGGGCGCATATGACCATGCCGAGTGTCGGGCAAGTTTTGAAGAGAGGCAACATGACAGAGTTGCTCATACGAACGACGGTGATTCACTTACATGAATGGAGCCACTTGTACGAGCACGAAGAGGCAAGACATTGAAGACAGGTTTGTGTGTAATGCCAAGGGAACTGATCTCACAACTCACCAACCGCCAAACGAAACACACCCTCTTCCTTCTGAAACACACGAAATCGGGACTTTTCGTGTTTCTCCATCTTCATACTGTGTGCGTGGGAGTGTGTGTGCTAGTGATATGTCTAGAGGGGTTGTCGATGCAATCCAGTCGCCTGCATCAACCACTCATCGAGTCCATTGAAACTCATCGAGCCCCATTAACCCTCTCAATGTGACGCCCATTCCCATCACTTCTCCTCTTTCTAACATGGTGTGTACAGATAATATCTTATCAGTTTCCCATGTGGCGTGCTGTGGTGCGGCGTTGACCAGCCAGTCACGCAACACCAGCTGTCCGACATGAGAGACGCCTTCTCATTCAAGGACTGTCTGCATACTTGTACAGGACATAGTACTAGTGTCAGAGGGGAGGACTGTTTTCAAGTTGTCCAATCCGACGCGCTGTTGTGGTTCCTCTTTGATATCGGTCGTGCAAACGAGAACGAGACACACCTGCTGCTGCTGCTGCTGCTGCGAAAAGGCGCGCATGCAGCTTTAACGCATGTCCATATATGCACTGTATAGCCAGCTTTCCCGCCGAGCAGCTCAACAAGAGTACATGGTCCTAGTCTGGTCATTCCGTCGCATCTTGCAATTCGCAAAAAGTTGACAGTTTTGCCCGCGAGCCAAGAGCTGAACAGCTCTATGTACTCAACCCACACTAGCAGGGTGCAGATGTGCGGAGCAGGCCATCAAGGGACTTTGTTCGTATCAAGGGACTACTGGATTACTGAGTTCCCTACGGGGCAATGACAAGTGTCGATGCAACAAGGAACGGCCATTTGTTTACAGCTTGACACCGTACCCGGTTGCAGACAGTTCCTATCTTACACTGAGTAGTCCTATTTGAACAGTCAAGAATCTCTATTTGAACAGTAGTGGTCTGTGCACCTACTGAATTCGCTGCGCCTACACCAGCACTTCCATGACCACACACCCCTTTACAGTGTGCCCTGATGGAAATGCCCATATCCCACATAATAACAACACCATGAACGTCAATATCGCGATCTCTGATAGACTCAATATCATTATTGTCATCGACCTAGAATTGAGGAGCGTGCCTGCGGAGACGGGCGCGGCAGCTGCAGAGGCAGCAGCAGAGGCAGCAGCAGGGCTGATTCCATAGTCGTGATGTTCAGCGCCCTCTAAAACGACTGCCAGTATGCTATCCAACACTGTACTCTGGTGTATGGGTGTGGTAGACAGTACTAAGGGGGTTGCTCTAGCTGGTGGCACAGACCACTACTGTTCAAATAGAGATTCTTGACTGTTCAAATAGGACTACTCCTTACACTTGTGTTCCTCGGTATCTCGTCCAGGGGGCGTGTTGCCATCACTCGCAGACGCAGCATGACAAGCGACGTAACACACGAAATTGCCGAAGGACAAAGTTGCCCGAAAGCAGTTTGCGGGATAATCAACGGGGCATAGCGACAACAACTACTTGCTATCGGCAAAGTCTACAAAGGAGGCAAAAGAGCTGGAAGATGGAATCAATTCGGCGGCGTCGGACAAACTTGTCTCTTTGACACACCCACCCCTGGAACAGTTGTTGGTTGCCGTATTATCCCCTTTGTCCCCTTGAGTTGAGGCTTTCTGCGGGTCAACCGGTGGGATTTTTGGGCTTTTCATTTTGTCCGTTCCATCAGCTCCGTCCCCAGGAACCCGGTCAACCCATGACAAAAGGCCCAGAAAGTCTTGACTCGTCATGACAGCTCAAACGGTCCCCATCGAGGCAATGGTGTTTGCCTGAGATCCCCCTTCGTCGCACGATTGACGTTTCTCTACAGTCCAAACGAAACCCGGACTGTCTATTGTCCTCATGGCTTCCCTGGCAGAACTGTTGGTTAGGCTAACCGGGGTATTATTTGTGCCATTCTCCTTGCCAAAAGGCTATGCGCAGCGGACGTGGATCCTGGTAAGCGGACAGTACGTTGAGCCTGTTACTCAAACTACCTATCCATCAGCCATTCTCTGCAGGACAAGACTGGCATTACTTCTCGTAGGTAGACACAGCAGAGGTACGGAGGAAGCTTTCAAAAGAAATGTCCTCGCGTCGCTAGCATTTTGGGCCTAATGCTAGCGACGCGAGGACATTTCTTTTGAAAGCTTCCTCCGTACAGATGCCCGAAATGCGGCCTTTTACAGAGTCGAGCAGCATCTCGATCCGTGCCTGATACGCTCATTCCGCCTCCTCTCCTCAAAACCCTCCGTGTCGGCCCAACGCGCCAACTGGCGCACAAGCAGAAAAAGAGGCGTATTTCTCGTACGTATTTCTCGTACCCGACTGCGATCCGAACAATGTCTCGCCCTGCGATAAGCATCTCCGTAGCCTCCCCATAGGTTGCACTAGTTCAAGTGGGATGGATGAGAGGGAGGGAAGAAGGGAGAAAGAGTTTGTTACTTGTAGACTTGGCATCAACGGATCTCGTAGTAGTTAGTTGCCCATCTCGCCGTCGCAGTCTGGGCAACTTGTGTTGTTACTATCTATTCCTTGATGCTACAGGATAGTGTCTGGACTAGTTTGCTGATTGCGGGAGGCCATGGATAGGAGAGGAAAGAGTTGGCCACCCGCATGATAGTTGAAAAGCAAAAGGCCGCCCAGGGTATTGTCGCTCTAGGTAGGTGGCATACAAATACAAATAGTTGCCCCAGCGTCAAAGTTGACTCAGCCCAGCTTTTTTTATAAAACCTTGCCCACCGACAAAAGAAGGTCATCAAAGTATTTTGAACAACTCTGAGCCGTAGGTGGAAATAAGCATTGACGGGCTGATGCATGGACAATGGCAACGCGCCCCCCCAAGTCATAATACCGGGGTGGGCTGACGTCGAGGATCTGCTGCGTGAGCTAGCACGACTCGGTGCAGAGTCCCGTCATCAGTATTCTTCATTGTTTAATCATGATTTGTTTTGTCTTGAGAGAGTTTCCATCAATCAGTAATCACAAATCACATTCAGCACCTCTTTGAAGGATGGGGGGGATGTGGAGGTTGTCACTGGACTGGAATTGGTATGTCCAGCTGTGTGCTCCAACCGAGTCTGGTTTGGGTGGTGCGAGTTCCTTCGTAGGTAGGCTCGTATGTCCGAACTTCGCATTAGAGGGTATAGTAGTATAGTAGCAATTGGATTCACTCAGCCGAGAAAGGACTCTCGATACTCTCTCGCACACACACTCCCAGCCGCTCGGCTTCGTTTCGGAGTAGTTGCTACGGCTGTTGGGCCTCTCGCGTCAGCGCAGAAGCATGTGTCCGCGGCCACGGGATTGGACGGCGGCCCGAGTCTGAGAGTGTTGGCCCAAAAGGTGCTGTAAGGGAGAGGCATGCACATGCAAATTTGCTGCCGCTTGTTCCTCGTCGTGTCTGTCAATCTCATACCAGGCCTCGCTAGGCAATAGCCATTGAACCGCACTGCTACCTTTGTTTATGCAGCTCATTCTAAGCGATCATGATGGATGGTGACGACCAAGTGGGCACTTCTGTAGGATTCGAAATCCTCCATCCTAGAGCCAAGGGAACTAGCCAGCCCCAAGGGGGGGAGATGATGAGTTGAACCAACAGCCGAAACTCAATGTGAACCGTGTGCAATCGGCTATCGGCCTACATGTATATACGTTACCATTAGCAAGAAGAAAGTAGGGGGTTGGAGCTTGATACTTGGCGATACAGCAGCCTGATAACCTCACATCATCAATGCCTGCATTAGCCGACACAGCCAATTAGAGACAACTGGTAGTGGACAGCAAAGACTGCCAAGTTGACACGGTACATGTATGTTTAGCTGGAAAGGATGGGGGGGGAAAAAACAAGAAGCCTGGGGTATTTATTTTTGTGTGCGTATCCTGATGCCTTCTTGTAATCCCACCGACTCTCTTGTGGTCGTTCTCCGGCCTTTTCCTGCAATACGCACTCGATACGCATCCAGGCAATCGTATTGGTTTAGAGGGGGGACGGCTCTAGGTTGATTTGTGGTAGCATTGCCTGGATCTCGGGCTGCTTACTCCGTACTGCGTGAGTAAGTGCATGTATCCCTGCCGAATCAGGTATGTGCAAAAATGCGTACCAATCCTCCTGGGAAGCAAAAGGGCCCGCAGGAATGGAGAAGAAATGAAGAGTAGGAACAAAACTGTCAAAGTCAAAGCCCGGTGCTTCCAATGGGATCAAGTCAATGACAACAAGACTTGACAAAGAAAGCTCCCTGCTGTGTCAAAACGGGCAACTCACCGTCATCCGGCTCTTTGCTCCATCGTCCACGTTATTCGCAACTGTATCAAAGCATCTGTCCACGAATTGCCTGTTCCAGACGTTTGCAGTATTCGTATTACACGCCCCCCTTGTCTCTTCCTCACTCCCCTCCCCTTCCCACCCTTGCATCTTCATGTTCGAAGTAAGTACCTTCTTTAGCTTCTTCGGAGTCAATCTCGCGCAAAATACTACATCCGATACCTGGAGTTTCCTTCTTGGTAGTGGGAATTCGCGTTTTGGGAGGTTATAGTTGGTTTTTGTCTGAACGGAACGACAGGAAAGGCGGATTTCCACTTGTATGTATATCCTTCTCGCACTCGGCAACTTACTCCTCGCTGTCGTTTAACACAGTTCCTTTAGCAGGCAACAGCGCGAAACAAGCGATTCATGCACCGTCATGCTCTTCTCGGCAACTTGACGTCTCTTGCTTCATCCACTGATCCCGATCCTCCACGACATCCCCTATTGAACAATCCACACGGAAGATCCCTTCCTTTCGTACTTCGTACTCCCTATTTTTCAGTTTTGGCAAGTCTTGGTGATCTGTCAGATAAGAATGTGCGCAACAATGAGTTTGAACTTCGCGCAACTTGTCCGATGATTCGTCTCCGTCGAGTTCTCTTTCCTTCTGTCAACTTGGATCGAGCCATCAAGATGTCTTGGCTCCAAACAGCTGCGTGGCGGCCTGTTAGTAGAGTTTCGGTCACGACAGCCATCAACAGACAAAAACCGAGGCTCAGACGCAAAGTGAATAATGTAAAGAGAGGAATAAGAGCCAACAGATGAGCCCTGTATTTGCCCATACATAATTCTTTTGAGCGCTTCATAATAAGTTTTCGGGGGGTATCGCCCATTTAAATATCTGGTCGCTGCGACTGGGTGCAGACTTTTGGTTAAACGTGGGAGGCCGATGTCATTGCTTCCGTAGCTGGCCGGAACTTGCCACTTGGTATGTATCAATTCTCCCGCAAAATACATACATTTCGAACTCTACATAGCCGGCATCGAGCAAAATCTTATAGTACATGTAATTTTAGATAAACAGCCGTCAGAACGAACTATTCCAACGCAAGGTAGTAGTGGTCGCAGCGAATACCACCTGAAGTTGGGTTGAAGGAAGAGAAACAGGCACGGCACAACCGCATTTTGCAGAGGGCTAAATAACCACAGAATAGAATGAGTAATAGTAGTGTTGTTGTGTAAATAATTCTGAATTTTTCCTGTCCGCCAAGCAATTGCACTCCTGTCTCATTTTGAAGTTCAGCCGCAAAAGGGCCTGGGCGCTGTGAAGCCATCGGTTGGCCTTATTGCGCGTTATTGATTTGGCTGAATCGGACGAGTCGATCCTTGGTTGAACCACTTATCTCCTAGTCTGCTGCGTATTGCCTGTTAGTGACTGCCTAGCACGCACTGGGTTAGGGGTAGCAGTGAGTACTCTCCAGCTGCTAGAAGACCGGAGAACGGAGTTATTTCACCAGCGAATATTCCATCAAGTGCTGGCCGAGCAAAGTGCTGTTGCTACGGGGTGCATGAGATGTGGCTTGGTTCAATCTTGGATACTGTCACAGGCAGGCAGCTTCGTGTTTGCTGGAACCAAGCAGCCAATCAGCCTCTGGATGATTCTCGATTCACAGACTCATGTTCGATCTTCTTGCTCTGGCCCGTTTACGATCTGTTTCGCCCCGGCGCGCTTCGTATGCGTAATAGCTCGATATGACTTCTCCCACACACGCTCGACGGTGATTGGTTATTTGCCGCATGTTGACACCTACCCAGGTAGCTCGTGCATACTTGTACATACCGTAGATACATAAGGTAGGATGTGATGTCGCCGTTCTGCACTATACGTAATGCATCATGGCCTCCAACTTGTCACAAACAGCATCTACAAGTACCTGGTTCTAAATGCATGACAAACCGGCAATGCAGGAATGAATAGCTGTCTGGCATTCAGGCCGTGGTGCATCTGATGCAATGTACTATACAAAGTGTTGCCCATCACTGAGTCCTGTCTCAGCGCTTTGTCCTGTGCTGTGCTTGATGGTACAACCAACCAACAAACATCAACTCGCTCCATGTACTGCTCGTAATCGAAGTATGTACGTAAGTATGTATGTACGGGCATGTACCAGGATCCAACGCCCGAGTCAAGCCAATATATCATGCGCCCATCCCTTGAGCCAGCAGAAACTAACCAACCAACCCCAAGGCTTCTGGTGTCGTTTCTGTCTCATTCATTCATTACCCGTTTACGACAACCCTCTCACACACCCCTGCCAGCGCCTCCACTCGTCACCTACTAGACTACTAGGTGCTACTATGGACAGTCAAGACAGTCCATGGGATTCGTCGCAGTACGAGAGTACTCGTAGGTACCTACCTCTGGAATAGCTTCAACTTGGGAGTGGCAGTGAACATGAACTCTAGATAGGCGTTCCATATCACACACACACACACACACGCCCCCTCCCTCCCTCCCTTGCTCCCTTCTTCTGCCCTCTCGCCTCTATTTGGCCTCGCTTGCTTCTTGTCATATGAACAAAGCTTCCATTCCGTCACGTCAAACTTGTCGATTTTCTCCCTCTTCTTTCGATCTCGCCTGCGCTTCTTCGCCTTTGCCTCATTTTTCTTTGTCCTATTTCTGGCAGTTCTTGCAGTTGTGGCTGGGTACATATTTACCTAGGTAGTATAGGTAGCAATAAGGAGAGCAAACAAAACTGACACATGGCGAAACACCAAGCAAGATACTATAAATTCCAGTGCTTACCTATGGTTCCTCTCGTCATCGCCTTCTTTGGCTGTCCTGTTGCGCTCTGCGACTAGGTACATACATACAGTGCAACACGCTTCTTCTCCTTGTCCTCGCCTTCACCTCCATTTCTTCGAGTCAGTTCAGAAACAGTCGACGGCAGATCTTTGTCCAGGTCTGTCAAGTCCACACACAGAGCTGTAATACTAGCCTTTGCACCACTTTGTAGTGCACAGTACTGTAGTAGTAGGTATCTTTCTGATTATTCACGCAATTCCGCCCTTGTATAATCATCCTCTATTTCCCCACCAGCTGTCGTTTTTTCGCACCCTGTTTGTTCGCTCGCTCTTTCGCTCGTCTCTCTCCCTTCGCATCAATCGCCCACGCCTCCCCCCCCTTCACTCACGCCCTTTGCACGCCCCCCTTGTCGCCGATTAGACTCAGACTCGCAGCCGATCAGGTCTCGTTGGTTTCCGGGACCCGACAATCTCTCTTCAGTTCAGTTCAGTTCAGTTCAGTTCAGCCCAGGACACGACGCAGAAGCTACTGCTTGCTTGCTGCCTTTTTTTCCCCTCTGGAATATCATTCCGAGATATTTTCCTCCTTCCTTTCTTTTCCTTCACTTCTACCATAAAATTTCCCCATATTTTCCCTCGACCTTGATAGGTTTCAAAGCTGCTCGCCATCACGTGTTGATACCTCTCTCTCTTGCCTTGATCAGCCCGGGTTCCTTTTCTGAATACCTTCATACCTTCTTTTTGCCCAACTGCCGTCTTCAGCCTCGTCGCTCTATCGGCAAAACCCTCTATTGGGGCATATAATACTTGGCCTCCCGCGCATCGGCCATCACAGCCATCAGACACCCCCCCAGCAAGGTCGATCTTGGTCGCAGCCACAGCTGACAGGACAAGACAAGACGGGAACACGGGCCAGCTTTGGCCTGGTCTGGTACGGCATCGAGGCCGTCTCTGTATATATCCGCCTCCCCAGCCCGCGGTCAGCGCTCGCAAGGCTCCAATAGAGAGGGCTCAACACATCATGGAGACCATTGCTGTCGAGCATCAGTATTCGCGGACGCCTCCGAGGCTGTCCACCGAGACCAGCATGGCCTCTCTTTCGTCTCGAGATCTGTCAGAGAAGCGGGAGCTGCCTCACCACCCGATGCTCAGCACGGCCGCGCTGCTGAATCCCATCATCGAAAAGACGCCGCCGCCGGTTGTTGCTGAGCCCGTGCCACTGCATTTGCATTCTCAGCCTCAGCCTCCCCAGTCGCTGCACTCGCAATCAACCTCGCACTCGCTGTCGCGCTCTCCAGTTGATATGGCGCCTTCAGCTTCGACGACGCCTCCGCGAGAATCCATTGACAGATCGGTCACGAATGGCTCTGCAAAGTGAGTATCTGGTTTTCCTTTCATCTCTGTCTCTGTCTTTTCATCACGTGTATATCACTATTCTATCCTTGACCCAGTTCATGTGGTTCCATCGTCATGATTCTTTTGCATCTGCCTGTCTTCTCTCTTCCAAAAGGCTTCTCCATCATCGCATATCTCGCTTGTCAGGAAAGTCTCCGCGGCACGCAGCACGAACCACTTTATAAAGGCCTCGCCCTTGATTCATATCCCGCGCCACTGCAGCTCGAGCCAAGCTCAGTTCTCGTGCAACACCAACTCTGTCCTCTCCCCCCTTTTCACACACTATCTTCCCCTGCTTCTGTTTCACGGCAAGTCCAATAAGACGCACACAACTCCGCACACCCCCAGCGGCAGGAACAAGTCCAGAAGCAATCCAGAGGCCACGCAAACCGGAAGACCTGGCTGCGATTCACCGTCCTCCTATCACCGCAGTGGGGTTTTTTGCCTGCCAGTGCCCGAACTTCTTCTCGTCCTGGACTGCTTCTTGTGCCTCGTGCTTCCGTCATGTCTTGCCCGCGGCCCAGCTGCTGGCAAACTCGGTCGCCATGGCCACTGCTTCCATGGCTTCCTCCTCCTCCTCTTCTTCTTCTTCCTCTTCCCCTCATCTACCTCTCTGCCAAAAGCCACGCATAACGCACAGTCTCTCTTTACCGGCACGTCCAGCAGAGCGGATCAGCCGTTTTGTTCGCATCGGAGACTTACAACACACACCATCTCCTCTACCGACAATCCCCCGTCTCCCTTGCTTCGCGGTTGGCCATCAGTGTGAGACTCAATACCCATGGGCAACTCATCCGTCACAGTCCCTTGCAGTCTTCGCCAAAGGTGAGCTGAGTGTGTCGGGCCACTGATTGGCCCATGCCCTCTCTGCGTCTGCAAGCCTGTCCTAGTCGATCGAGCTGTGTCGCTCCCAGACCTTGCCTCACGCCCAGTGGCGTAGACAAGAGACGCAGACGCACTTGATCCATTGGAAGACCCGGTGCAACGTGTTCCCGTGGGAATGGACGGCCTATAAACGATGGGCTGTGCACGGCAGTGGCCAGACCCCGATCTTGCATTTCCGCCTGGCCGCTGGATCTCTACCCTATCCCAGTCATCCCGTTGCTGCTCGTCTCAATCACATGCCGCTTATGGACTCTTTCTTGCTGGCGCTTTGGACGGCGAGTTGCTGTCCGGCTTATCGCGGGCTCTGATGCCATCTGTTGCTGGCGATCCTTGCATCCTTTGTCCCTTGTACGGCTGCTGGCTGAGAACAACCCTCGTCATCTGCCCGCGGGTGGCAACACGGAATTCAGAGTGTGAGGCAGAAGGAGGAATTGCACTTGTCCTACGAGACATCTCAATCCTTGTGTCTTCTTCCTCTTAGCCCTTTTCCTGTGTTAGGCCTCGGGTCAAAGTTGACCAGCCCGCTTAGCTTTTCCCATTCGCTCGCCAGTTTGTCACCTGGCCAAAGCTCTTAAAGAATTCTTTTCATCTTCACCTCTGTTTTCCATCTCCGTCTTGTCTCCTCTCTATCCCTCTCTTTTAATATCTTCTCTTCAATTGATATATCATTCTTTCGTTCACACACGCCGACATGCTTCAACCGTCGTCGAGCTCCTCCGTCCTCGGCGACGAGCCATCAACCGCGCCCTCAACGCCAGCTGACCCAGATTCTAGACCACTCAACGACCACAAACCAGTTGACGACAACGAGGCAGAAAGCGAGCTTAGTGAGCCAGACAGCACCGTTCGATCGCCATCAGGGGTGGGTCTCACCGATCCGGAGCGCTCCATCGTCGCTGAAGCCATGGCTAACGGTCGTCGAAAGTCGTCGCCTCTCCGCGTCACGTCCGAGAATGAGGACGAGGCCATGACCGACTCGCCAGCAACTGAACCCGCGGGCTTCCACTATCCCAAGCGCAAGCGCAACTCCGTCTTCACCGACCTCAGCGAGAGCAAGATGGAGGTCCACACCGACGGATCAAGGGCTTCTCTGCCCGCCCAGGGCCTCAAGCCCAAGTCGTCGCGACAGAGCATGGGAAGCGTCCGCGGCGTCTTGCTGGGCCACTGGAGAGACTCAACCATCCCCGACCCTGAGCACCGCCACGCCGTGATTGGCTTCATTGACAGTCGCGAACGGTTGCGCACTCGCATCCAGCCCTTCACCCTCACCAACGAACCGATCAGCGGCGACTACCCCATGCCTCCGGGACCTGGCGGCAGCTGGGTTACGTTTGAACGGGTCGTCTTCTCCAAGCATCTGGTCGGCCTTGATCACTTCCAGGTCAAGGAGTATGTGAGGCTTCGCACGGACAGCAAAGAGGAGACGGAAGAGGAGCGCAAAGCGGCCGAGCTCGCGGCAGTCAAGGAGGCCATCCGCAGAGTCAAAGAGAACCCGGCCTTTGATAACCCGACAACTCAGCCCCCTATAGCCCACGGGCCCGAACTGCCCGAGTCGGCCTTTGCCATTGGTCGCCCCGATGCCAAGCGAAGACGGGTGAGCAGCGGCTTTGCGGCCATCAACACAGGCGGCAGCAACAGCCCTCCGGAGCGTTCGCCTTTGCTGTCGTCCCAACCGGCCCTGCAGCCCCGGCCGGCCCATGTGCCCAAGCTACATGGTCCACTGCCGGGCACTCGGCCCACGCGCATCTTGTTGGGCTATTGGAGGGGCTCCAGCGAAGAAGACACCCGGGACCGCCACGCCGTGTATGGCATCCTGGGGCAGAATGACATGTTCAGAGTCAAGGTAGTCCGCGAAACCCGTGACGGCCGCTTCGTCGATGGCAACTTTCCCTCAGGCGCGGGCGCATTGTGGATTCAATATGAAGAAGTCGAATTCGAACCGCACCTGAAGCCTCTGCAAAGAGTCGAGATCAAAGAGTACTGCAGAGTCCGCCAGTATCAGCTGGATCAGGGCGAGCTGCCAGAGGACCGCGTTGGCAATGAGATCAGGGCCGTGCAGGAGGCGCAGGCCCGCGCAGGCTCCGGCTACAGACACATCCACCAGCCCATTGCGCCGTATCAACCCATCGCTACTGACGACGTGGACCTGGCGAATCAATCAGAAGTCAATGGAGTGCAGCCCGAAGTTCGACAGTCTCGCCGCGGCGAATCTCGGGCCACGCCTCGACAGTCCTTCACCGAGACCGACGTGCGCCAGCCGCGCGCCTACGCCGAGCAGGAGCCCTCGCGTCCCGACTCTCGCGCCACGAACCGCAGCCAGAACACGGACGGAGTGGAGCGGGCTCATGCGCTTGCCCGCAGGGAAATTGCGCGCGTCGAGGCCGCCCAGGGCCGTGCTGACCGGCATGCCATGCACCGCGAGCGGGCCGCTGCCCTCGTTGCCGATGCCGCGGCTGCGGCTGCTGCGGCTGTCGCTGCATCGGCGCCGCTCCAGTCTCCTACCACCAATGGCAGGGCTCCCTTCTACGAGTCGGAGGACATGCAGCGTCTCAACAAGGTCTGGGCTCGCCAGGAGATGCTGCGTCTCAAGGCCGGTGCCGAGGACGCCAAGGTGTACGACGGCGTCAAGTATGAGCGCAAGACCAACGGGCCCTTTATGGGCAAGCTCGTCTCGCAGGGGACCATTATCAACATTGATGGCGAGGACTACGTTGAGTACCGCGTTCTCACCAAGCCGTCCTTTTTCTAAGTCACCGCGCTTGGAATCCCAGACGAAAAGACTTTGAGTGTCGATTGCTGCGAGACACTCGAGCTTCTCAACTCCTTTATTCTTCAGGTCCTTTTCATAAGCCACCTTTCCTTCATCTCCTACTTGTCTGATCTTGTTTCCCATGTCTATTAGGGTGGAGAGATGTACACAGGGCTGCCTAGAGATATGTATTCCGCGAAGCAGCAGACCAGGGCGGTATATTTGCGGCATGCACATGGGCGTTATTTCTTCTTGCATCTCCTTTGTTTCTGCCGAAGAGAAGGCAGGCCTTTTGCTTTTGGACTTGTTCTTCCTTTCTTTTCGTGTTCTCGTTTGTTCTGTGTTGGTTTGCTTGCGCTTATATCCGGCTGCGTCTTTCCTTGACCATTCTCTTCCTTTTCTCCTAATTCCTTTCTCATCTGTGTCTGGTCGGTTCATGTCGTTCTGAGTCATCTCCGTACTACTTTTCTTTGTTGTCTTGGCTCTGAATACCCTGCTTTCTTAAAATGGTTGTTAGCCCTCAGGGGAGGTAATCGCGCAACAAAGGTGATGGAGGTTCTTGTCTTTTATCAAGAAGTTTTCGATGTTGGGGGTCTAGAATTAATACTAGATTGGTAATGAGACTTTGTTTATACTCCTCAGCTCGAGGGAACTGGTGTATTGTCAGTGATTTTTTCTTCATCACGAGAGAACTTCTTGTCTCGCTGTAGGATGTGAGATGCTGCTATTCAGAGAGTGCTATTGTCACATGGACGGCAAGATATGGGATGATGAGGGCTCTTGGGACGATTGCCTTTGCTAGATAGCGGTCTTTGGTATGCCTGAATGTAACTACGGCTGCTCATATCTAGTCAAACATTTGACTGCCCAATAGCGAAGAAAGAGGGATGGGGGGCTCAAGAATATCCGATCTTGTGGTTGGCGAATCTGGGCAAAGAAGTTGATGGACCTGGGTCTTTGACATGAGACACCTTTCTTGAAGTTGAAGTTGTTCTATGACCTGACTCCCCGCAACTGTTATGTACATACCTACTTCAAGAGATCTAATGAGTAGGTCCTTAAAGAAGTACTTCATCACTTGTGTGTTTATAATTTTAAGTCGAACTATCTAGCTAGTTTGCTCAAATCGTAAATGTACAGAAGCTTCTGATACATACAGAGATAAAACAAACCCAACGTACACTGCTTTCCTTTACAGTTCGCTAAAGTAATATGCTGTGAAGCTATCAGGGATATTGATGGAACAGTCTGCTGAGCTACCAGTGCCAGTCTTCCTCCTGCGTCGTCATCGTCGTCATCAGTGCAGCGGCCATTGCCAGGGCCCTTTTGTTAGCTGAAGCTATAATACATCAGCGAGTCGCGTATAGTTGAGAGCGGGATAAGAAGATTATTTGGCAGGTAAGCTGTAAGACTGACCCATTATGCAGAATGAATACCCCTACAACTCATGATAAGGCGTCTACAAGCGCATGGGGACAGAAGCTTTATTATAATATAGATAAACTTCACTACCTATACTAATAGAAAGAGCAGCCATAGAGTACCTGAACTTAGCTATCTAGTAGCTCTAGTTTAGATATATGGCCTGGTTAATTTACTAGAAATTATTAATATACCTAGTTCTACTAGATATAGATAGAAGCCATATCAGAAGTAGCAACTGTATCAGAGAGTAGAACATATTTTATCTATCTAGAAATATTAGCTAGATAAGGGTGCTAGACAGCCGCTCTCTACATCTTAGAATTGTAACGCGGTATGTGTTGTGGTGATGTAGAATTATACTAATAATACCTGTAAAATATACTACAGCCGTGAAGATAAAGAGGCAATCCCAGTAATTCTTCTTAACGCCATCTTGGTCAGGATTGACGGCGTCTTGGGGGGTCGGCGACTCGAAAACGAGTGTCTCTCTTAGCAATGGCAAAGAAGCAGGCCGATGGTCGAAAACTGTTCACCGCAACACTGCTGCTGGAGAACGCCTTGATCAGCACCATTGAGCCAGTCGTCAATCGGTAGCAGGGGCATGGCGAAAGCTGGCGACGGCATCACAGGGCGAAGCGAGGGCGTCTGAGACCAGTTCCAGAAACGGTCTCCTAGTCTCTCATCGACTGTCCATAAGCCATAATGAAGAGGGACACTGCGTGTAAGCGTGCGGATCGAGTCCCAGTCGGCCATGTTGAACTCGTACATGGTGCCATTCGTAAGCCAGGCATCTATTTCTACCGTCCGCTGACTGACATCAATATGCTTGAGGGGGTCGAACTTCTCAAGGCTGGGAACTTGGAGCCCAAGCATCATGGCGATGCCATGGTCTGGTCCTTTGGCTAGGGACATTTTCAGCTGATGACGAGCCTAAGGAACAGTGGGCAGGTCCCATCGATCGAGGATGTGCCACAGAATCTCTTCATTGGTGGCCGCAGGTCTGTCCCTTTTGATCCGAACAATCTTTTCGCAGTAATACGAGGCCAAAAATAACGTCAAGGCCTCAGTAGCATGTTTCTCTTGAAGCTCGGCGCCCACTGCCCACCTGTTGCAGTACTTGGTCATAGTCCGCACTAGGAAAAGGCTCTTTGACTTGACCGTATTCCAATCCCACCCATTTTCCTCAGCTTGAGACCTTGACAGGACGTGATACGGGTAGAAAACCCTCTCGCCACGACGGGGGGTCGGGATTGTCAGGAAGCAGTCAAACTCTTTCTTTGTGAGGCCATATTGCTGTCCGATCTTTGACAAGGGTGGGATATACAGTGTCCCTGCCATCCTTGATAGTCGAAGGCTGACAGTTGCCCCAGCAAGTTTCGCTCACGTGGAAGAGCTTCCGCCCATCGTGTCCAAGGAGTAAACGGTCAACTACGGGGAGTTTCTCGCCCGTTCTGAGCACCTCTCTTTGCTCTTCGGGTGTCCACTTCTCACACCTCTCAACTTCTTCGGCGTGTGGGAGCTCCAAAGAGAAACTGTATCACATGGTGGCCGCGTTCGCCAGCCCATTGTAAAGCCATGTCATTCTAGACTTCCACGTCTCAAGATCCAGCGAGGTGTCATCCTTGCAAATGATGGACTAGGCAATCAATGGCAGACAGAAATATGCTTGTATCTTCTTGTCGTAGTTGCCAGCGAATGTCGCGACGTTGACATTCAGATTCATGGCTTGTCGACGCAGCCCACCTTTAACGACGAAAGCGTACACGGCCTCCAGGATCTTGTCATGAGACCCGACACCCATATGAAGAACATGCCAGTAGTATGGATACTCGTAATACAGGTCTGCCATTATGGGGTAAGAGCGCAGAGAGTCGCCCAAGCTCACTTACATGGCTTCAAGCTCTGCGCTGATGGACTCAGGGGTTGCGCCAGGAAGCTTTCGATCAGTCTGTCCAGGTTCATCGCCAATGAAGTCTTGATGCGATACGATCCGAGATGCCGTGATCCTGACAAAACGTAGACTTGCGGTTTGAGAGACTGACGTCCAACACGGAAGATCTCTCCACAAGGATCGGTGTCCAGGGGAAGGGGATCCAGGAGACTCACAGCCGCTGTCATCCTCTTCTTGGACGGAGACGCCAAAGACTGGGACGTCATCATCATCGTCATCCTGAATGAATCTTCGTCCGCGGAGGACCTGACGATAAGCAGCCCGGACAGGGGGCGGAAGTTGCCGTGGGCGGAGAAGGTGTGTCAATGGCTGGGGCGTCATTGACCGGGACGTCATCATCATCGTCATCTTGGATGATTGCCTGAAGTGTATCCTTTGCCATGCCTAGTCCGCGCAGGGCCCGACGATAAGCGGCCCAGGCAGGAGGAGAAGATGCTGCGGGAGGAGAAGGTGCCGAGGGGGGGTGAGAAGGAGTCGGGGGAGGAAGAGAGGGCAAAAAGTACGCGTCTAATCGTCGTTGGCGCTTGTCTGATTGTGGTGTCGGAAGTGCAATTGAGGAGGCACTTTGCTTCTGCTGAGCTGCTCGTCTAGAAATATCTATAATAGTTACTAGTTAGCAGATGGACATTAAAAGGATTCGAAGAATAACTTGCTGCTGGGAGCCATGGTGCGGGCCGCAGACACACGCTGTCTTCACACGCGATAACCACGTTTGGAACTTCCTACTCCCTTGTCCATAGACGCAAAGTGACGGTCCCATGTATGTTCCAATAATGACAGAAGTCAAGGGACTGCTACTATCGGAGGCGCAAACGCGGACGACGACGGAGGACAGGAACTTGATCTACCACGTAGACCAAGGGTCGGCAAGAAGGATGGCATAGACAGGCGGGCAGACGGGCAGAAGACAGACGACGACAGGAGAAGAAGGGTAGAGAAAAGAAGAGAGCCAAGATACGGATAGACGATAATAATAAGAATAGCTGATAATCAATAGTGATAGCATATAATCAATAATAATAGATGGTAATAGATGGTAATAGACGACAATAGACGATGATAGATGGTGATAATTAATAGGAGAGAAGAGGAGAAAGGAAGAGATTAAGGTTAAGCATAAAACAGAGAGCAAAATGCTGACTTTATCATGCAGTCTACCAGTCAAGGCCATCATGACCGAGATCTTTCCCAGGTGATATTACAAGCCTCGAGTGAACCTCCTCTTTCCGAGTACCTGCGAGTAGCAACCGAAGTCTCTGCCTACCAAAACCCACTGCCAACCTTGCGTAATCGCTCCATCCTCAAGGACAACGGCCGTCCAGGGCATTCCAAGCCTACTTGCAATATAAGTACTGCTACCGTCTCAAGGCGTCAGCGTGCAGTTATCAGGAGGGCCAAGGAATACCTACCGCTACCTAAGGTACCTACTCACTTACCTACCCAGGTACATGAGGTATTGGTTCTCATCTCAGTTTGCGTCCTCGTATACTGATCGCCAGCTCGTGGCCCTTCGCCTGCCCCTTGACAATGTTCGTTACTTACATGATGAGATTGATTCTGCTTTCAACATTTCCTCCAGCCGCGACCTTTATCCTGCAGACCTTGTTCAACTGATTCAGGATGTCCTTGTTTAGTCGATAACCATTACAAGCAGTCTGTTTCCCTGGAAGAGCATCCTGAAAGGTCATGACGTTCATCATTGTATGGACGTCCAGGTGCTCGCCCTCGAAGCCCTCACACGGGATGAAACTGTTCATGCCTTTGGTCATGATAGCCATCTCCAATGACCTCATCCGTCATCGTCCACATCATATTGAGCAACTTTCCCTCTTCCCCTCCTCTTCCGATGACTTGGGAGGCCCCACGTGAGGCATCTTGATCGTGAGGCTCGTCACGAAGTGCCAGAATCTGAGCCACATCATGTTTGCTGCCCCCCTCGACCTTGATTGGGTTTACATTTGGCGAGTGGCAATGGCATCTGATTGTGGAGAAGAGATGGGTCGAGGTCTAGATGAAGATCCTAGACAAGGCCAGGTTCATGAGAATGAAACACTTCCCATTTGCTTCATATCTGGGATGATCGCGGCTCTGTGGGCAGGCCGCCTACATGATGTTGACCGCGGCCGGGGCCTGGGCTCCAACTCATATATATTTCAATGACCTGCTCTGACATCTGGCAGTTGTAGGGCATGTTAAGGACTCAATCCCAGTGGAACAGTCTCATCAAGTACAACCAAAACGAGCAGAATCATATCCATCATCTTCTTGGCAAACCTCAAGCCTTTCGTGAATTCAGATCGTGGAGATTTTAACAAAGAGGAGCTACCAGCGCACTTACGTTGCGGAAACGCAGACCAGACCGACAACAATGCCAACAGCAACGACCAGAGAATTGCCGGTATTATTTATGCCTGTTCGACAGTTAACCAAACTCTCAAGGGCGACATTACCTTGCTAGGAAGAAAGAGCTTGGAGCTCCTAGTCCCAGCCCTTATATGTTTTGGCATCAACAACGTGAGTGTAGAGCCACTTACCGCTATTGTTGATTCACCCACTCGGCAGCTGACCATGTCGATATTTACCGAGGCCAAGAAGTGATTCCTCGATATTGACCACGTGGGCACTTTTATATTGGCAAGCTACAGGCTTAAGGCCTGGCGGTCACCAAAGATGGAATCGTTCATTCATTTCAGAGTCAATCGAGAACACGTCTGCCGGGCGTTTGCGCAAGGTGAAGGTATAGACGAGACTCATACAGTTTTGACACCCCGGTCTTGCGATGGACATGATATAGAGCTACTCACGTCCTGTCGTTCTGATAGCGCTTGAATCTACCGTTAAAGGCAAACAATCACTGTCTGCTCTGTAACTTTGGTGCTACTATGAACGCTTTTGGAAGCATGCGGAGCTTCAAGAGTGAAAGAAGGTCAACATTGATCCAAGTTGTCAAGTGAGCGGCCATCCAGCACTCCAGCAGACTAACACCCTTGTTACGGGCAATGCTGCTGCTGCCGCTGCCGCTATCATGAGATGCAGAATCCCATCTCCTCTACTCTCTGTACTGCTTGCTATATCATTGTAATCTAATCAGAAGCATATAAGTAGATTTGATAGACAGAGTAGCTGAAGGAAACCCATGTCAACATCTTAGCTCTAGCTGAACTGACTTGGCACGCTGGATAGTCACTTAACGATGTCAGCTTATCAGGGTGAAGGAACCTGGGCCTCATCGTCCCAACCCTATTGCATTGAAAAAGGACATCAACAACGCGAATGCAGAGCCACTTGTCACTGTTCATTCATGCCTACTCGACAGCTGACCGTGCAGATTCTTCGACGAGGCCAAGAAGCTGTGTCACCGATCGATCCTCATCTGACTCTACGGCGGCGTTCCGATTCATAGGTCAGCAGCTGGGGCTTCCCCCCCCCCCCCCCCCCCCCCCCTATTACGACGCCTTGACTGGTACATCTAGTCGTCTCTAAAGATTCATCGCACTCTTCACTCATCAGATTGCTTAGAATCGGTACCTGTCTTGCTTTTGAAGCCGGGTGATACGTCTTGCCGTACATCTGTCAAAGACGCTCGCTTGCGTTTTTGAATCCGTCCATGCGTACATCTTACTCCAAGCTCTTGCAACGCATGCCTTACGCAATGAGCTATGCGTGAGTATTAAATTAAATCGAGCCACCCACCAAGTATCACAAAATGTACAGGCAAAGTCCCTCGTCGAGTATATACTACAATACATGTATTAAATTCCGGTATCTCATCAGCCTCGTCATCGTTGAATACATGAAAAGCAAAAAGGTGAGCTTCGAGGCTCTACCAAGTAGCCGCCCAAAGGTCCATTCCCGCCACCGATACCGGCACAGACCGAGCCAAAAATCTGTGTCTAATGCCCAAGCCCATGCCAAGTTGAAGCATCCCCCCCGAATATAAATCCTCCTCGCAGATGACCCCCGCCTCCTCTTAGACCTCGAGCTGCCCGAGATAGCCTTGAAACGCCATGCATAATGTCTCGTGTCAAACAGAGATGCTAGCCTCGGTGGACTGGGGGAAAAAAACAAAACAAAAACGCCGTATTTTCAAATGGGTATATGACGGTACCGGTTTGTCGTTAGCCAACAGTTGTGTTTTCAAGAAAACGCTCTGGCCTGTTGGTGCTTCCTGGAGCTGCGCTGTATCAAGCTCGGCTTGCTCTCGCCGTGGGCGGATGGGCGGAGACCCATGCTTGCTTGGAGCGCGCTCCTAGGTATATGCGCGGGTGCTTGCGGCGAGCAACGTCGCTGATGGTGCGACTCGCGACGCAGCTGTAGTCGAGGTGTCCGCCTCATGGCGATTCACTCGCTTCGACCTTGATTCCTCTACTCTCCATACCTGCTCAGGTTTCTTCGAATCGGCCTCACTCAATATATGGCCTCTTTTCGGTTTGCCGAACGACGCATAATCCCAGGGCGCGCAGCGCATCTCGATCGTTGGCCGTGACAATTGTGCGGGCGGGAAGCATGGGGTTGCTGGGGTCGACATGCGAGGCCTCTCTGGCGGCGATTTCGATGGCGTCCATTTCCTCCTTGCAGCCTTGTTGATCCAAGTGGCAGATGACGATGGGTTGCCGTATCTGAAGGTCTCTCGCGCCGCTAACTTGCACCTGTGTCGTGTAAGTACAATTCTTGTCGGTAGACAATCTTGGAGAGCCTACCTTGATGTTGAGGTAAAACTCAATCTTGTAGAGGGTTGACGTAGTGGTGAATGAGGCAACCTCGTACTGGGGAAAGGCTGGCTTGCCCCTCTTGATGATGCCTTCAGAGTCCCTCAGATCCTTGGAGGGAAAGATCAATCCAATGTTGGTGGCGTATCCAGCTTCCGGTAGCTTTGTCTTGACGACTTGGACTTGCTTTGCGAGCTTGTTGACCCTCTTGGTCGGCTCATCACCCTCGGGGTTAAAGGTGATTTCCTCCTCTATTCCTAGGGTGATCTTGTCAATGGTGACCTTCTTGGCCTTGTACCAAGCGCCCTGGGCCGGGGAGACCTTGATGTAGACGGTGATGGGGTCGCTGGGGCCGTAGCTCCAGCGCGGCAGGTTGATGCCGAGGTTGACGAGGTTGTCGCTCGAGACGAGCTTGGCTTCGGGCTTGTTGTACATGCCAAAGGTAGACAGGGTGTCGTATCGCAGAATGGGGAGCGGAAAGTTGTATTTGAACTGGTTCTTGGAGCCCTGCTGCACCGTCACGACCAGCTCATAGTACGTCTCTGCGATCCTACTAGGCAGCTGCAGAGACGCCGGCGGTATCCTTCGGTTGATCTCCTCGCCGCCTCTGCCAAAGGGAATGAAGATGACAAAGGGCAGGTCCATGGCGATGATTTCCTCGGCCTCCTTGCCCGTCTGGCATCTGTATAGGAGCACCTCTTTGCCCACCAAGTCGGTCGTCTCTTTGCGGGGGGCGCCCAGATGTCGCTTGGTGAGGCTGTCGGCGTCGGGGTGTATCGTCTCGCGCTTCTGGAGGCTTATCCGGACGAGGGATACGGGAACGGGCATGGAGTAGCCAAGGCCCGGCCGGATCTCGACCTTGCCCTCGATCCGTGGCTGCAGGCGGTTGGTCGTGTGTCAGCACACAGCTTCTTGTCCATTCCCCTTGTTGTGCCACAGAAAGCAAAACTAGTCAACGTACCAGTGTCGCGGAGATGCCCGGATACCCCACGAGAAAGCTCCTATTCGGAGGGCCCGAGACCCTTACGCTGGCTGGTGTGGAAAAAGCCATGCTATCGCGGCGGTTGCGTGGACTCGAGCGCTGTGGCGTCGCTGTCGTTGTCGTTGCCGGCGTCGCTCTGCGGCGGATGCGCTGCGGATGTCTTGCGAGTCCGCGTCAGCGTCAGCGGCAGAGCTGGGTGCTGGTTCGATTCGGCTCGGTCGAGATCGGCTTCGGTTCGCTGCGGTGAGGTGCTCGATCGTCAGGGGAGCGGGCTATCGTCGGTCGTCGAAGCAAGCAGCGATCACCGCCGTCGTTGTTCGCGCGGAGTCGCCGTGAGCGTCTGGCTGGAGTTGTGCGTCTGGATCCCCCGAGGCCTGGGCCGACAGCGGATGGCCAGCAGGCATAGACAGCGGGAGGCTCACGACCTCGCTCGGGTACTAGTACTCTGGCAGCACTGGCAGTGTTTCCGCCGCGCTCAAGCACACACACACGCAAGCCGGGCCGCAGTCACAGTCGCAGACGCAGACGCAGACGCAAGATCGAGCAAGGGACAAGAACGAGGACGAGGACGAGGACGAGGACGAGAGCAGGCACAGGCACAGGCACAGGAACAGGAACAGGCGGGTCGGTGCCAAGGTGGGGTTTGAAGCTGGCTGGCAGGCTGCGGCCGGGGTGGGTTTCCGTGGTCTTCAAGCTGTGGTTGTGGTTGCAAGGGCTCGAGGCAGCGGGATCGGATCGCTGGGACCGGGTCGCATTCAGTGCTGCAGCAGGTGCAGGCAGGCGCAGGGCTCAGCAAACTGAGGGCGTCAGGTCAGCATCAGCCTCGGCGCGCCGGCGCTGCAGGTGGACGGAATTGCGCGACAGGGGCGGCGATGGCGAGGCTCGAGGAGAAGACGGACACCCTGAGTGAAGTGGTGGTGGTGGTGGTGGTTTAGGTAAGGCGGCGCTGCTGGTCCAGTCGACAGCTGAGGTCGAGATGCATTAGCTTCAGTGGAGCAGTTGCAGCGGCTCTTGCGCTGTGAGGGAAGCCCGGGCGCCTGTGGCAGCGGGAGCCGTAGGGCTCGAGACAGCTGGAGGTGTAGGTGCTGTTGGTGAGGTGCAGGTGGTGTGGATGGGGGGGCGCGCACCTATAGTACAGGGCAGGCACCTACTAGGTACTTGCAGCTGGAGGGTCTGCGTCTTCTCTTGGGAAACGTGTCAGGTAGAACGTGATACTGGATTCGCACGAGTTGGTGGAAGAGGCAGAAGAGGGAAGCTCGAGGTGAGATTCGCGCTCAGCGGGGGTCGTGTGGCGCCGGACCCGGTTGAGAGATGACGCCGGGCCAGTCCTGCGCCTCTGCAGAGAGCAGCTCGAGCTTGCTGACGGAGCTAGGGATGCCCAATCAGGGCAGCTCGCAGATGCTGGTGATTGTGGCTGGTTGAAAGGCTAAAGAGGAGGAATCGAAGGGGACTCCAAGGACAAGAGAATGGTAAAAAAAGAGATGCAGGGCCAGACAGGACCGTTGAGGGCCGTCCGCATGCGGTGGTTTAATATGTTACAGGTATTTATAAGCGGCTGGTTTCCGCCGGCGCTGAGGGGAAACGACCTTGAAGGGGCTGCCGCTGTGCGACTGTGATGATTCAGCTCGCAATGGAAGAAGAGCAGAGAAATAGCTAAAGAAGACGAGCAGAATCCGAGGGAATCGGTCAAAGACGACTGCACTTTGCGATGCGATGCCGGCATCTCTCTCGCTGCAAGTCTGATAGCGCTCCTGGTGAACATGAATACTACAGGTACCGCTGTTCTACCTTGATGTTCTTAGACATGCAGTTCCCGGAATATCTTCCATGGCCCACAGCCCTGCTGCTGGCGCCATTGTTGCGGCTCCATCTGGGCCATGGATGCGGCCAAGTCGCACCAAGTCTCGTACCCCGCGATTGGCTCTGGATTCAGCCTGTTGGCGCTGCCGTAGGGCAGACAGACGGACGATCGTCGTAGAGGCTGCGCTTGATATTACCTACCTACTCGACTATCAATCCATATGATCTTCTCTACCTACTGAATGAAGATTTCTGCAGAACTATTGCACAGTTGTCAATGCTCTGGACCCCTTTGTACTTATGCCATTTAGTCTCAAGCTCCCAAATGCGTCAGCCTCCGCACTTGGCGCTTCCACGCGCTTCGCACATGTCCGGCTTATTCGCAGCACAGCAAATGGACCTGTAATAATCCCATCATCACCCGTGCCTGGCCCGTCACTCGTGGCCCCCATTCTGGCTGCATCGCCGTTCTTGCATCCCGTCCCCTTGCGCCTGGCTGACCACGACGACAGGGGAAATAGCAGCAAGGCGTTTTTTCCAAAGCACATCTCCTGGATGGGGGAGCAGGAGACCCAACTCGGGACTGGACGTCTCTAACAGAAGTGTCAGATTGTCCCGAAAGAAGCAACGTCTAATGATTGATAAAAGAAAAAGGTGGCAGCTCAGCTTAGCCCTATATCACCCGCTGAAGAACTGTGGCTTGCCCTGGACACCAGAGATGTTCAATCGTATTCAACCAACCTGTGGACGCTAAATTGCTTCCAAAGTCACCTACAGTACAGGCAAGGGTCCCCCAGCTGTGCCGCTCCGGCGGCTCAAGTCAGAGATGCTACAGCCGCCGCAGTCAGCCTCGTTCGAGCAGGACGCAGTACATGTAATAAGACGCCAGATCCCAGTCACCGCTGATTCTCTCACTGGCATCGCCATTCTTCCCCTTTTTTTCTTTCTTTCATTCTTTCTTTCTTTCTCGCTCCTCCCTCTGACAAGCCGCAACAGGCGAGATGCGGGCCACACATGGATCACATTCGCACAATGTAACCCTTCCACCGAATTCCGTGGTGGAGTGACATCGACAATCGACAGGCCCCATGCAATGCCCAATGCGGCTTAGCCCGAGCTGAGCTCCAACAACACGTCTGAAGCTTTCCGTTGTCGATCGATCCAACTTTTGTGAATCAAGTTCACCCAGACAAACAACAGCTCAGGCATCGCACATACAGACAAGCAAAGCAGACTCTCGCCCTTGGCAGCACAAAACTCACACAATGTCTGTCACGCTTCACACGACTCTGGGCGACATCAAGATCGAAGTCTTTTGCGAGAGCGTCCCCAAGACAGCCGAGGTATGTTTGCCTCACCCAGCCCAGATATCGCTATCAAACACCTACCTTCTGACACACGCGCTCAACAGAACTTCCTCGCCCTCTGCGCCTCCGGCTACTACGACCAGTCGCCCTTCCACCGCCTCATCCCCAAGTTCATGGTGCAGACGGGAGCGCCCGCCAATCCGACCGCCGAGAACCCAAAGGGCGGCCAGTCCATCTGGGGCGCCCCTTTCGAAGACGAGATTCGACCCGCCCTGCGGCACAGCGGCAGGGGCATCGTGTCCATGGCCAACAAAGGGCCCGGCACCAATGGCTCGCAGTTCTTCATCACCTTTGACAAGGCGCCCCATCTCGACGGCCTCAACACCGTCTTTGGCAAGGTCATTGGCGACGAGGGGCTGGTGACGCTCGCCAAGATGGAGGCCGTCGAGGTGGACAAGAAGAGCCGTCCCAAGGAGCCCTTTCGCATCGAAAAGGTGACTATTCATGCGAATCCGCTTGCTGGATAGGTCTTGCGCCGTAGGAATCTCGCAGACGATGAAGACTGTCGAAACATGCCAATATTGCGCAAAGAGTTTGCTGCCAGGCCGTCACGTACAAATCTCCCGGTACCAGCGTCTCTTACATGAGCGCTGGTATCGGCTGTATGGCTTGGCACGATCAACATCTGGTGGTCATTTACGACTATGGCTCAAACTGGACCTCCGAGCTTGTGATGACCAGCCGCGTCCTTGCCGCAATGACTGATGCCCGCCAAAGCATTGAGAATGCTCTACAACATAGACTCGAGAGCGGACGGTCGATGCGAAAGCAAGCAATGCCCGGGTATGCCCGGGTATGCAGCAGTCTTATCTGCACATCAAGGCTTCATCTCGAAAGAACAGCCACCAAGCCGCCGAGGTCTGATCCACCGCTACCTGGCGTAATGGCGTAGTCATCTGCTGTGGAGGGACTTGTAAAGGATGCAGGTCCAGTACGCCTCCTGCAGAAAAAAATGAGTTTCGCCTCATGATGAGAGGGCAGCGTATGACGAAGTAGACCGTCCATAGTGCCTGAGATTGGCACTTGTATGATGACTATGATGCGATACTGGTAAATTTCAAACTCGAACCAATGGAAATACCTTGCTAGTTACAGCAGACTTTGAAGCGATTACATTGGTCCCTCTGCTTTCTGTGCCCAATGTCACTCTCTTTGCTCGACATCATGTGAAGCCTTAGACGGCTACCTGCGACCGATCAAGTACGTGATGATGACTCCTCTGTCTAGACAAGTCGTGTGATGTGCCAAGCTATTAGATCAATATGCCTGTTTCACAACTCAAACTCATCTTCCCTTTTCATGCCATTTCAGGGTTCTCATGCTGATGTCTTACTCGCAAAGTAAATCAGACGACCTGGGACTCGGCTTCTTCCTTCTGCCCTCATCAAGAGCTGACCGGATGCCTCCTACCCGTCCGCTGACACTCTGACGTGGCCCATCAGATTGGCAATCGGTGGATGCTTGCAGCAACAGATTCCTTCACCCATCATGCCACCCCCCCGTTCTGGCCACGTCGTCTTGCTGCCTTCTGCATGAAGCCGTGGAAGTCTCGTCACCAACAAGTTGTAGAGTTGGCCAAGTCATATCTCACTTTTTAAAGCCCCTCCAACCCCTCCTCTTCGATGTCTATTCTTCTTCTCCCTTCTTCACGCCAACACTTATAGATATGGCTTGCAACGCAGTGTGTCCCTATACAGCCACCCGGAGACATTGACGAACTGAAGAGATGAGTGCGACTCATCCAACAAACTGAACACCAAACTCATGAGAATTTGAGCTTGGGGAATAGTCCCACCAAAACGGTAATGGAACTACAGAGACGAAGAATGACTCGAGAGGTGGAGACGACCACGACCGCCGCCAAACGTCTCTGAGAAGGCGAAACTATCGCGAAGCCACGCAAGTACCGCATGCTTAAGGCGTATCAAGTAAGTATAAGCAAGGTTGTGTTTTGGCACAGCTGAGACGGAGAGAAAGTGAGTCACGTCGCGATAAAGGTTGTGGGCTAACACTACTCTCAGAGCCCGACATGAACATGTTCCATCGACCGACATCAAAGGGACGAAAAGCATATACCGTGAGTTTGCGTGTAGTAAGCCAACCATAAAACAACTATTGACTAATCGTGTAATATACAGACAGACAGACAGACAGACAGACTTCTCCGCTCTTGTTAAAATGCGACAAGTTAAGCTGCCCCATGGTGGCCTCTGCCTCTTCCGCTTCCGCTTCGAAGAAGATTTCATATGGAGGGCTCGTTCCACGGCAATTCAAGCAGATGAGGTACGACTTGGAATTGTTGGTAAAGAGAACGAGATGGGGACCGCTCCTCGCACGCCTACGCGGTCAATTAACCAACGGTGTCATCTCTGTCAGGGGATGATGGCCGACCAAGCCCCCAGGCTCTATAATGAGAACAGAATAACAAAAGTACATCCTCGAATTCATCTAGGAGTTGCGCGGAGATTGCCCGGGAGAGGCTCAGCTGCAGATCGCGTAGGGACAAGAAGAAATTATACGTTCAAAGTTCGCTGAGGCCAGCCGCATGTCACGACTCCTCTCATGGGAACAGAAATGAGTGGCTCATAAGCGTAGGTAAGGCAAGATGCTGCGAAGCGACGTTGCAGCGAGTGGCCAGTGAGGGAGCTTTAAGAAAACCCATCACAAAGATTTAGTGGAAGACGGCATAGTGTAGTTGAGATCTAACATGCCTGAGGGCCATGGCATCTACAACTTTCCACATTGCCATACAGAGCAACAAGGTCAAACGCTGAGTTTGCTCCGATGCATACCTACCTATATTCATTGGTGACAAGTAACAAGTACAACATGAAGTCTTATAAGCTCCTTGTGGAGTTGATACATGATGATGCCGTAGCGTGCAAGCCCCGTGCCGATAATGTCTTGATATTACCCATACCTACGGCAAGGATCCAGCATTGTTTGAGGTTGTCCAGTCAAGAGGCCGCAGTGCATGTCAGAGGTTGATGCCATCACCAAAAGTGACTTGGGTCATGTCACTCTGCTGAGGTGGATGCGGATTGGTCGGGTGCTATCAAATCCAACCCAAGCTCGCGATTTCGAGCTAAACACGGCGCCAAATCGTGACATGCAAACAATATGTGAAGAAGCCCAACAAGAGCCTACGGAATGACAATGCATCCAGCAAAGGAAGTATGAGAAGCGATGGTCTCTCCGTTAAATGCGGAATACCCGGCCCAGTCACTCACAATATATAACGGGAGCAAAGAATGAGAGAAAATCTGCATCCTCGCCACGCATGTTCCACCCAAGCAGTCGGGCACTCGCGTATCTTGCAGCTTCATCAGCAGAGATCCAGCAATGCGTAGTGAATGATACAACACAAGAGGGAGACGGAACGTTGCATGACGATGAAGGACTCCGAAGCCAAGGCCAGAGCCGAGAAGCAGAAGGCGCGCTCCCGTCCTCTGCCGGCCACGAGCATCAACGAGAGACAACCAGATCTCCATGACCGATCCCACAGGCGGATTGGATGATCCTACTTCACCTCCTGACACCTTCGATACAGTCAAAAAGAAGCACGATAAACCAAATTCTACATATAAGCCCAGCGCCAATCTATGCAAAAAAGCCTGTTCCATCCTTTCTATTCTCACCTACCTACCTTTCCAAGCTCCCCCATCCCATCAACATCATCAAATCATACCCGCCCCCCATTCAAACACCTGCGGCTCCCTCGTCGTATACCACCACCTCATCGTCCTCGGCGTGTCCTCAAACTCAACAAACAAGACATCATCCTCCCAATTCCTCCTCTCGATCCTCTCCAACGCCTCCTTCACACCACCAACGCCACCTACCGTAACGCCCTCCCCATATTCCACCTTGAAATTGCCCTCCTCCTTCTGCTCGACACGCAGAAACGCAGCCCTCTGGTCATCCGTAAAGAAGGGGAACAAGGCCTCCGCATCAGCAGATAGACCACGAACTATATCGTCTCGCAGATTAGCCCATTCTTGACCAGATATGCGACACCTCCTCCCTGGATCCTGTATAGGTGCGTCTAGTCGAAGGGGTGCAACAGTAGGTATATTGGGGAGACTAGGGGCTGTTGTGGGAGCTGGAGGAGGTTTTGGTGTGCGGAAGATGCTTCGAAAGGTCGAGAGGTAGCGCTCCTTTCTGCCGTAGACGTAGCTCCCTTCAAGCTTCTGCAGGGTAACGTTGCGGTGTTGCTGGATCTCCGCTGCTGCTTTGGAAGGAGGAGCAGGAACAACAGCGGCAGAAGAAGAAGAAGGGGTGCCGAATAGGGGTGGCGGAGGAGGAGGGCGAGCGGGAACAGCACGAGTCTCCGGCTGTCGTTTGCACTCGAGGCTGAGCGGTGCACGCCCTATCTGCTGCTTCTGTCCAGAACCAACCTTGTTCGCTGAAGAGCGCCCCGACGACGACGACGACCTCTCTCTCGTGCTGCCGTCATCGGATTTTGTCAAGAATAAGAGACGCGGAATGAGATACATGAGTCTACTCGACGAAGCAACCGACACCCCTTCCGAACCAAAAGCATCAGTCCCATTCGTACCCACCAAAGACGTCAAAGACGAAGCCGAAGCCGAAGAAAACGACCAACGACTCTTCATGCCCCGATCTTCGTCCTCGCTATCCACATCATTGTAAAACGTCCCGTTGGCAGCAGCAGCAGCAGCCAAAACCTTCAACCTACCAACCTCATCCTCACCACTTCCCCCCTCGAAACCAGAAAAGCAGGAAGAAGGACTCAGAGAAGAGCTCGTATGATGATGATGATGATGATGCGTATCGTGGCCATTGTCAAGTCCAAATGCTTGCCGCCACATGAGCCTATCCCGGAACTCGATTCGAAACTCTTCATATTCCCACCAACTGCTCTCTCCTCGTTGGATCTTTAGGGGGAAGCATATTCTCAGCGTGGGCTTCTTTTCCTCTGTCCTTTTCTTCATTGGAGGAGGAGGAGGAGGAGGAGGAGGAGGAGGAGGGATTCTCATGGTGGGCGGGGAAAAAGTGAAAGAATGGGAGAGGAAGGGGAGGATCGTGGCAAAGTTTCCAAGAGGCATCTTGATGGCTTCTGGATGTGGTTTGTGGTAGTTGGGGCAAGGGGACAAGGCTGTGGAGGTTTGGGTGTTAATAAAGCCATGAAGAGAGAGATTGGTCATGGACATTGTGCGTTGGTGGTGAAGGGGAAACAGCTCTGGAAGATGGGCATGGGCATGATGGACAAAGGCTCGCTGAATGGCTTCAACACTGGTGTTGTTTCGCGTTGTTGTGAACGGCTCTGCGAAAGCATTCAGCCATGCATTCGAAACATTCAGTCATTCACACTCAAGTCTCAGCAACTGTTCACTCGAGAGCTCACCCTCCACAAACACAAAGGAACACCAGGGGACAAATAGAGCAAAAGATAAAGACTATTCCTGTCTTGGGCCGCCCTCCCGAGTTATGAAATTTGAGCTCTGACAACTATCTAATGGATTTTCAAACTAGATTTGGGGGTATGTACGTTATGTACTGTGTGAATGCCATCGCCAGTGACAGCTTAAAGGGGGACAGCCCCGAATAAATCCCAAAACGCCTTTCCCATTGTTCGCCCCTTTCCACCCTCTCCTCGCTCACTTCACAAGGTAGGGAAAATAAGTACTTTTGTAGCAAAGTCGAGTATGATGCATACTCGGGTAGTTTCGATTGCGCAATGGTGTGTGATGAAGGGGGTATTTGATTTGGTGTAGTCTTGTTCAACGCTTTGGCCTCCCCGCGTTGTTCGGCTACCTTTTCGCTTTGGTAACGCTGTTCATTCGGCTTGCCTCTTTGATTAAAGTCAGCCTACCTTCTGCAACATCGTCGAGAACATGGATCGGTGTGGGACCAACCTCTCCTATTATCGATGCTCAGAGGGTTGAGCAGAGCGCTGATTTTCTACGCCTGGTTTATGGAGACTTTGCCAATGACTGCCACTCCACGCTGCAGGTGATGGAAGCAAAAGACCAAGGCAGGGCGCCAGCCATCTGTTCTATGCTCTCAACTCTCACCATGCTGCTCAACCTAATCGTCGTCTCTTGGCCCCATGATCGGGGCTGTCGTTCAATCTGAATCCATCTCGGTGAATCTCTTCGGTGCCCGTAGGACTGGGAGTGTGGTGGGGGATGCCTTGTCCATTAGGCAGTCCGCCGTTGATGCCGCTGTTGACAGCTCCGTTTAGTCCGTTTCCGAGGGCCTCCGAGTCGAGGTTAAAGTTAAAGTCGGTCCCATCCCCAAAGTGGGCGTCGTTGAGGAAAGCGTTGCTATCAAAAAACTGGTCGAGATCGACATTCGGAGGGTCAAAGTAGGCTTCGTTTCCGTCGTCCAGGCCGGGAATGTGGCCGTTCGGGCTCAGCGGCCCCAGGATGCCGCTCAGCTCGTTGATCTTGGCATCCTGCTCGCTCTGCAGCCGCTTCAGCTGCTCGAGCTCGCTCTGATTCGAGCTGATGTGGTGTAGGGAGGGCGCGGGCATCGTGGGTGATCGCATAATGGGCGAGAGCGATGGCGGGGCGGCCGTACTCTCCTGCGCGGGAGACGGAATGGCCGAGGAGGCGGCTGTAGAGGGCAGATGAGACATGGGGTCGGATACAGCAGGCGTGGCTGGCATCGGCGGCGACGTCGTCTGCGCTGCAATGAGGTTGACGAGCGTGCTTCTCTGGTCGTTGCTCAGCGTGTTGGGGGCGTTGTTGACAATCTCGGCTGCTTCCGGCAGATCGAGGCCTGCCGAGCTGCTGGCGTTGTGGTCGTTGATAATCTTCATCATCCGCTCTTGCGGGTTCGCCTCGAGTTCCTGCCTCAGGGTCGTGTCCGACGGGGACGTGTCGAGCAGCTCCGTGACGTGGCCCATCTCCGGGTGGGCGCCGACGGGGTGGTAGACGGAGCTGCTGCTCGAGGGCGTCCGGGTGGGCGGGCCCATGTGGCCGACTTGGGGGATCGGCGGGAGCAGCTTCTGGGACTTCCTGGCGCCGGCGTCGCCTTGGGCCTGGAAGAAGTCGCCCAGGTCCACCACGCTGCCCTGGTGCTGCGGCTGCTGGTTCTGATTCGCCATGAGGCTGGAGATGATGTCGGTGACGTTCTGCGACGCCCCCTGATCCTCGAGCGTTTTCCTGAAGACGTTGGCCAAAAAGTTGAGAATCGCATTGATCGAGTTCTGATGCCGGTCGTGCTGGCTCTGGAACATGAGGGCCTGGTTGTAGAGGTCGTTGTTGTTGCGCTGCAGGCGGTTGATGGCGCCGAGTATGAGCTTCTGCTGCTCCCGCACCTTTTGCAGCTCCTCCTTAATCAGGGCCATTTCCTTCTTGGGCAGAGGCGACGGTTCCGCTCCTGCGACGGCGGGCAGCGGGCGGCCTGCGGCGTTGGTCACCGGCGCTCCCTGGTGGCTTGCAACCTCCTCGTGGGCGCCGTCCTCCTCGCTATCGCCATCGCCATCCTGGCCCTTGTTCCCCTTTTTGGACTTGCCGCCGCTCTTGGGCTTGTTGATGAGCCACAGGAGATTGGGGTGTCCTCGCCGAAAGTACGGATTCGAATACTCGCTCGGGCTCTTGTTCTTGCGCTCGCTCGCGCGCATCGAGTTGTCAGAGAGCCCCACGCACTTGTGGAAGCCGTACATGTTGAGTTGCCGGACAAAGGACGCGTAGTTGTTGTGCTTGAACAGTTCTGGGATGAGCGTTTTGGCGAATTCGTCTTCGTCCAGCACGATGAAGGAGTCGCCCTTTTCCGACCACCGGATCAAGTCTTCATTCTTTCGCTCCTCCAGGAAGCTAACGACTGTTAGTATGGCACCAGTCAGAACGGGTAGTGGACGACTTGCCTGCTCAGCTTTTGCACAAAGGGGGGTATCTGTTTCCTCTTGGCCTGGGCTTCCCGCTTGGCCTTTTGGGCCATCTCCTCCAGCACCTCAATGTTGTCCTGTCCCGCGCTGTCCGCCGCGTTCTGCGGAACGAGGAGGCCGTCGTCCCCGAAGCCAGACCACCGGTCCGTAGAGGCATCGTACGCTGCTCGGAGATTCGTGGGGACCAGGGCGCGGTTCATCTGTCGGCGGGCGAGGGAGGTCGACGGGGTGCTGACGGCGGGAGGAAACGGCGGCGGCGCCTGCGCGAGGCCGTAGGGATTGTCGCCGTGCACAGCAGCGGCAGCGCCGAAGTAGTCGGTGGGATCGGGAACGCCGCCGATGCCGCCCCATGGCATCGCAGGGTTCGCAACGGCGACGGGCTCGGCTTCGTACGGTTGCTGCATGTTGCGTTGGATGGGCACGATGGGTGACGTCCCGGGGGCAGCTCGCTTCCGGGAGTTTGGGGCGGACATGGAGGGCGGTTTATATACGACCAGGAGCTGACTATGTATCGTTGGGGGGGGGAGGTGTGGTGTGCTTGCGAGGCGCGCGAAGGGAGATGATGCCCCGTCCGTCAAGAGCGGAAGCAGCTCCGACCGCGGTATTGGGATTTGGGGGGGTGTGTGAATGATGCCTTAGCGCAGCGCCGCGGCCCAAGGGCAGGATGGGCAGCCTGCAGTTCTCTCGAGAGATTGTCGGCCGATAGCAAGTACTACTATGCTGCGGTCCAGAGAAACAGCAGACAGCAGATAAACAGACAGGGTTTGGCAGGGAGGGCCGTTGGCGCCTGGGACGCGAGGTGTTGAAGGGAGTGAGGTCGGCAGCTGGTGGGCCGATGGGATCGAGATCGAGCCGGAACAACCCCGTGCTTTTCTGGCAAGCGTCGACGAGAGGAGCAGCAGCAGCGGGCACGAACAGGTGGATCGCCCGGGCGCGCTGGGAGAAGCCAAACCGCCAGCAGCTACAAACTGCGAGGGTATGTACAGTATGACTGGGACGGATAGCACGCGGAAAGGTGTGATGGAGTCGCGCCGCGACAGGAGCAATTCGTCCGAAGATGTGGCTGGTCTGGCAGCGAGGCGGGCTGGGCGGCAACCCGAGCTCTGGGAATAAAATCTGCGGCGCGAAGCTGGTTAGGTTTCAGCCGGAGCTGCGTCTGCGTATCGACAGCGGCTGGTGGGGACTCGATTCGCGGCCGGTGCTCGGTTGCGCGCTGGTGATTCGTCAGGCCGGGCGCCGCGAGGATGGGCTTAGGCGAGCTCAGAGTCTGCAGGAATGGCCTGATCTCTGCTCGCGCGGGCGATGGTTTGCAAAGTCGTTGACGGAAGGTTGACGACTGCGAAAATGCTTTTGCTGCTATCGAAAGTAGTCCGGCCAGTGGGTGCCGAGTCAGCAGCCTATTTTGCATCAAATGTCATCGCTGTCAGCCCCTTGGTCGGCCAATCAGCGCGCTGCGTGATAACGGGTGCAGTCAGCCTAGGCCCGTGGCACGTGACGATAAGCCGGCGCCGTTTGCCCGCCAGCACGCGAAATGACGGAGCTTCCTGTACTAAACAAAGAAACAGCCCGCGAACAAAGAACAGCTCCAAACGACAGTCCAGAACTTCTCGACATGTGCGAAGATGCCGTCACGTCATAGAACCGTTGCCGGATCTGCTCCCCTCCTCCTCCTCCTGATCTGTATCCTCCGCACCAGCATCTGAGCTGTCAATCCGCGGACCACGAACTAGGGGACTGACTAATGCAAAGTCAATCCTTGGGATGCACCAAACAGCCTCAACAGCACCCCTTACTTTGTCGATGCTGAACTGCCTTTTACCTACCCATTACTCAACGACTCAACTGACATTGCGGCTCCTTTGTGACCCCCAAGCGAACCCCCCTTCGAGATGGCGACACTCAGCCAAAGGGAGGCCACTAGGTTGCAGAATCAGACTTACATGACATTGCATGCAGCAGAGCCCACACCCACCGACCAGAACCCTTGCCGGGCCTACCCAGTCAGAAGCCGCGACAGCTTCCAGAGCGTCCCACCGAGCAAAATATGACAGCTTTCGACTGTGGATCGAGATTCTGGGAAAATGGCATGGCTTTGTTGTCTCAGCTGTTGCCACTCTAACTAACTTTGAACTGTTGTTGGACTGTTGTACGAGTACTGTAATCTATGATCAATACGAGTAAGCTCCTCATAGCCTCGGCTACCCTGCCTTATCCAGAAATGCGCCCGGAGTTGCAAAAAGGATGATAAGCCACTCCTCGGAGTAGGAGTTTCTTAGGCAGGGCAAAAAGAACATGTCCTCGGTGAGGCTCGAACTCACGACCTTCAGATGGCCCAAACTGTTGTTTGGATCATATGTTATAATATGAGACTGACGCGCTAGCCAACTGCGCCACGAAGACGTTGTTGAGAGCCATGGCGTTGGTAAGCCAATCTAGATAGCTTCGTTCCATGCTGTGACGAAGCCGATTTGTTGACTGGAGTCGGATACGAGTTACTGTACTAACGTCGTCGGCAATTGACGTCGGGTAGTTGCAGCATATTATCGTGCCTACAGTGAACAGCCACTTCGTGTAAGGCTGTCCGTATGATTTTGCCGTCATGATATCAAAAAGAAAAGTCAATTGCTCATCCAAATGCAAGGTGATTTGTGTCCTTCTATACCTTCCTCTTATTACTCATACATATAGAAAACAAGGGGGAAAGGACCGACTACGCCCCAGCACGCGATGCTCCGTACGCCACACCGTAAATCCATCGTCGACGCAAAACAGTCGTAATTGAGTTGCCGATAGAGTTTCAGTATCATTCACTTGGCCCCTCTGCCGGCCAGAGAAGCAGCCCGGGCCATCTGGGCATTCCGTGCCTGGTCCCATGCCCGTCCCGACCCTCCAGCCCGGGCCTCTCGCTCCGCCCGTTTCTCCTCCTTGAGCGTCCGCGACTTCTCGCGCGGATCAATGACGACTAGCTCCTCTTCGGCTTTCCTCCGGTTGCTCAGATCCTTGCCCAGCTTATCTGCTGCGAATGATAGCGCATGTGACATCCAGCCTTCGTCATCACTCTCTTCCTTCTCTTGCTTGTCCCAAGAGGTGCAGCTTTGGCAGTTTGCGATGAAGTGCAGGTCGCACAGCTCTGCTTCATCTTCCTGGGCCGGCTTCTCTGCGTCGCCTGGTTCGTTGTTGGTGGGTGTCTCAATGGACACCTCCTTCGACGGTGGGGCCTTTTCCAGCTTCGCCTGGAAGGCCTTTAACATGCGAAGAGACGCTTGCTCTTCGCTCGTCGAAGTGTTGTTCCCGCCAGGCCGCCTTTTCCTCCCCCGTATTGACGTTTCGGGTATCATGGCCTCTAATGCTGTCTTCTTCTTTTCCTTGACCGGCTCCTCGGAATGTATTGTTCTCCTCATGGAAGCCTTGAGGGCTGCTAATTCTTCGTTGGCCTTTTCCAAGGCGCTCTTTTGCTTGACCGGTTCTGGCTCGGGCGATGGCTCAGGCGACGGTTCCTTGCGCTTCTTGTGCACTGTTGTAGCTTTTTGCGGCTCTTCCCTTTCTTCTGCGCCGTCCATCGTGTCAGAAGCTGGTTCCTTCCCCCTGTCATTACTTGGTCGATTTTCGCTCCCCTTGTCTGCGTCCTTGGATGTAGACGCCTTCGTCTTTGGAGGCTTTTCTCGAGGCGCAGGAGCCTCCTCCTCGTCCATGACGAGTCGTGTGTCAAACTTTGGTTTCTTAAACACCGGCACTTCCTCATCGCCCACCTCGTCGCCAAAGCTGAGCAGCTGCTTTCCGCCTTTCCTCTTCTTTTTCTTTTCCTTTTCCACCTTTGGTTGCACTTGAGTCTGCGCCACCCTCGTCCGCTTCTTCATATCCTCAAACGGGTTGACCAAGATTTCCACTCGTTCGATCTTGATTGGGTATAGCGGTCGCTCGGTCGCTTCGTCGACCTCGGACTCGCCAATCTTGGCCAGGTTGTAGATTGTGTCGCCGGCGACCCTGCCAAACATTGTGTTCTTGCCGTTGAGCTCCTCGGCCTTGTCCAGCGTGAAGAAGAATTGGCTGCCGTTGGAATCGGGTCTTCCCTCGTTCGCCATGGCCAAGATGCCGCGCCGGTTGATTCGGAGTCGCGAATGAAACTCGTCCTTGAAGTTGATGCCGTTGGGCCCTGCGTTCTGCCCGTGTCTCTGGTCCATGGGCCACGGATCCAGGTCGCCGGAAAAGGCACCGCCATCGTATATCGACTCGCCGCCATTGCCCGTCCCCGTCGGATCGCCACCTTGCACGATAAAGTTGGGCACGAGTCGGTGGAAGATGGTGCCGTCGTAGTAGCCGTCGAGGCAGTGCTGCAGGAAGTTGCGGCACGTCAGTGGTGTCTGCTTGGCGAAGAGCTCGACGTGGAGCTCGCCCATCGTCGTGTGCAGAATCACCGAGCCCGTGGGCTGCGGCTCGAGGTTGTAGATGGACGACATGCTCAGCTGTGCGGCATCAAAACGGTTCGGATATGTTGGGCAAGGCGCAGGAACAGCGAGTTGAAGCGCGCGGGCTGGAGCTTTTGAGGCTTGACGCACGGTATCGCGCCAGGCCCACTGTTATCGATAGCAGGCTTGGTGCAACTCCAGCTTCAACCTGGTTCGATCAGTTCTTGCAGATCATTCATTGTGTGCCTTGTTTGCGTCTGAGCTTCAGATGCAGGGACTGAGCGGCACTTTATTGGCTGTCCTTCCTTTAAAGGCAGGGCAGTCGATTCTTCCTTGGGATTGACGTCAGTCTGTACGCTGTTGACCCAGTTGTTCGTAGGCCATCTCCTCTATTAGTGGTATCCCGCCTCGACTTACATGGACACGGCAGCCCCATCCTCTAAGAAAACTTGGAACCTGCATCTCCGAGGCCCAACCCTGGCCGCCATGGCATCAAAGGATCCATTTCCAGCACATGCGAATCCTGTTTCTCGATGGTCCCCTAAGTCCAAGGTCTTGAGCTTGGGGCGTGTGCTTTGATCGTGCACGGGCTGTTGGACATGGCAAACGAACCGATTGGCGGGAGCTCCCATGAGGGAGCCGCTCTCCTACGAGGCGGTTTGGCCTGTTATTCGGGCCATCCCGAGGCTGGAGCACTTGGAAAACCAACCTGCTCCACCATGGAGGAAACAAAGAGAGGCATCGATCTTGTCGACTGCTTCTGCCCTCTGCTCACAGTGTCAGACCATTGGCCATGGCCTTGAGTGTCTCACGTCGGTCTCACCAGTCATCAGCCATCACGGCAACAAGCCGGAGAAATCAACGGCGCCCGGAATCGCTCAGCTGCAGTGAAGCTCCAGGGGGGTTGGCAAGGCACGTCAGCAGCCCAGCCCCCCTAATTTGTCGGAACAATGGCCACCTGCAGCTGCAGCGCCAATCCCTGTGCCGATGCAAGCTGCTGCGTCACGTCACATCCTCACGGCATCTCCTCCCAATTCCTGTTTTTTCTTTGTTTTTTCTTTGTTCAGTTCCCACCTCCAGCAGTCCTGAAGTCGGACTGAGCTGGCCATCTCTGGGCATTGTCTTCGTTTCCTGCTGTCTAGGCACATCGTGGTTTCACTGCTTCTGTGACGCGAATCCATCATCTGTCCCTACCCATCGCCCGTCTTGTTCATTATTAGTACCAACTTGATACCCCCCCAGATCGACCAACATGAATCCCGCAAAGCTTCTCGAGGAGCACCAGGCTGCCGTCGCCAAGATCCAGCAGCAGGTCAAGCACTTTTACGACAACAAGAAGCCCTTCCGCGTCTACCATGGCTCCACGAGCTCGACGCGTCCGCTGTCCTTCAAGGCAGACGCCATCGTCGACACGAGCAGCATGGACCGCCTCTTCCCCGTCAACCTGGAGACCATGACCGTGCAGGCCGAGCCCAAGGTGCCCATGGACGCCCTGGCCGCCCACACCCTCAAGCACGGCGTCGTGCCCAAGATTGTCATGGAGTTCAAGGGCATCACCGTCGGCGGCGGCTACTCTGGCTTCTCCGGCGAGAGCAGCATGTACCGCTACGGCCTCTTCAACAACACCGTGTCCGAGATTGAGATTGTGCTCGGTGACGGCACGCTGGAAAAGGCCAATCGCGAGCACAACGCCGATCTGCTGGAGCATGCTGCCGGCAGCTTGGGAACCTTTGGCATCGTCACCCTGCTCACGATTGAGCTGATCCCGGCCACGCCCTTTGTCAGGCTGGACATCCAGCTGGTGGACGACGTCGGCAAAGCGCACGACATGTTTGAGGAGGCCACCAAGGACGAGTCCATTCACTTCATCGATGGCGTCTACTTCCGCAGGGGCGTCATCGTGGTCATGTTTGGCCGCTTCGTCTCCACTCTGCCCAACGGCAAGGCTCCCCTTAAGAAGATGGAGGTTCACTGGTTTGCCGACACCATCGAGGCCGCCATCAAGAAGCAGCCGACGCGCGACAAGCCCACAGACCTCTACATGTACACGCCCGACTACCTCTTCCGCTACGACCACGGCGCCTTCTGGGGTGGCAAGCTGGCCTTTAAGCACTTCCATGTGCCCGAGAACGCCATCACCCGCCGTCTGGCCGATCCTTTTCTCGACAGCCGCACGTGCTACCATGCGCTGCACAAGACGGGCCTTGCCAACGAGTATGTCGTGCAGGATTTCGGTATTCCGGCCAGCACCGTCAAAGAGTTCATCAGCTTCGTCAACGACACCTTGCCGGAGCTGATGATCTTCCTGGCTCCTTGCAAGTCTCCAAAGGAGATTGGCCTTACATCTCGCTTCAACCCGCGTGTCCACGAGGTCTCGGACCAGCGTATCTTTGCCGTGGGCGTCTACGGCCGCGGACCCCGCGACCCCAAGGCCTTTTACGAACTCAACCGCAAGCTGGAGCTGCGAAGCGCCGAGCTCATGGGCGCCAAGCTCCTGTACGCCCGGACATACTACACCGAGGACGAGTTCTGGCTCATCTACAACAAGGAGGTCTACGACGCGATGCGCAGGAAGTACAAGGCGGAGACGCTGCCTTCCGTCTACGACAAGCTCAAGGCCGACATGGAGACGGGCGCCGGCAAGAGGAGGCCGGTGCGTGGCATTCTCGAGACGATGTGGGACAAGGCCATTGGCAACAAGCACTACATTCCGGTGAAGAAGTGAAAGCCTTGGCTGACCCATGTGAGCTGTGAGGGGACGATCAACGCCTGACATGTTGGATACGTCTCCTTTACATGTACCTGATTGCAGCGCTTTGTCAGCCTGAGTATTGATACCCCTGACTTATTATATTTCTTTTCTTCCTTGATTCAGGGAGCGTGCTTGATTTTGTATCGACTTAGTGGATGCTGCCTGTTTCAATGATACCAAGGCTGTACTTGTCGATTGCATTCCATGAATACATATCATATCATCTACATGACCTGTCTATTGCCCCTTACTTAGCTCAGTCTGATGGAGACTTCTCTTGTGAAACCAGGCGCATCAACCATCTCATGAACGTTGTGGCATCACCTATCCCTCTATGACGCCGGTAGTGAAGCAAGACGCAACACCAGTCCGGCAAACTTGAATGACTGCAGTGCAGGTACCTACAACGACATGTTTCATTCAACATGTGCAGTAACATTCACGGCATATGTGGCTGCCTGACAATGTTGGATATGTCGACCTTGCATGTACCTGATAGTTGCAGCGATCCGTCAGTCTGGGTGATAGATGGCCGGCCTGTTCTCTATCTTGCTTTCTTTCTTGAATATCTCTTCTTCGCGAATGCTCCTGCAGTCAATGATATCAAAGACCGTAATCTACTGTTGCATTCCTCAATCGTAACCCAATCTACCTTATCCTTTGGTTGCTTTGGTTCATTATGCTAGTAAACCCTCTCGTAATACCAGGCAGCTTACACTTTCACTGACGCTATGGCATCTACCTACCTACCTACCCTCCCGTAATCATGACCTTGATTTGAAGCAGCATGCAGACCCCAGTTCTGACAAACGTGATGGACTGCATTAGAGGTGCCTGCAACCACATGTTCGTCGCATTGCCTTAGCTGCAGTCGGCATGCACAGCATTTAGCAGAGCTCCCCTCCCGTTACGATGGAACCCGGTCAACGCAGGCGCCATGTGACGTCTCGGGTATTATACGCAAGATGTCGTTACATGATGTGCTCGGCTTTATTGTTGCAGATGAGATGTTCTTGGGCATGTCTGATGTATGGGCTTCAGCTCCCTGTCTGAGGTGTTCAGCTCCCAGTTTCCCACTTTGGGGTGTTTAGCTGTTATCTTCGTTATGTTGCTTCTCAGGAGGGGAGAATTTGCTGCCAGTGGTCCATCACAAGATGTAACCTGGCATTGGCATTGCAAGTTGTCCAGCGGGGAGGCAGTTCCAGGGACCCAACACCTGTGACGGTTATCATACATGAGAGTACTTGCTGAGTAGGCCTAGTGACTGCGTATGAGTTGAGGGAAATGGAGAATGCCTTGCAACGGTGCGGGCTGCCTTTGGCAGGATGTTCTACAAATGGAGTCCAGAATTGGATAGATGAAACCATGACTGAGAAGTTGGGCGGATTTCTGAAGAGTATCAGATAACATTTACGTTCAAGAACAGGGGGACCTACTGAGCCACTTACTTACTGACAGCTGCTGGGAAAGACTACGTTGCCGACATACGAGGAGATTGTATCGCCAAGTACATGTAGAGGTACTCGCGTGCTCATACACGGTACTGAGATGCTGATGATTGCACGCCCTGATGCCTACCTGGAGAGTTTCGAGAGTACTTTGGCCTAGTATAGAAAGCCAAATCTGTGAAGAGGTCTGCCAAGATAGGCACGAAAATTGTAACGAGGGACCTCGTGTAAGCCAAATACATGATATTTCCCGTCGGCTATATTAGGGCCAGGTAGGTAGGTACTCGAATATCGACCACATGCCTTGGTAAATATGTATATCAGTGGACTGAAGTTGGGTCTCTTCAGAAAAAAGGAATAATCCGCGGCGTTATAAACAAGGGAATGCCACATTGCATATTCATTTTAGTATTTACAGCCTACGAATCATATGTCTGCATCATGTGTTTGCCTTTCATCTATAGGGTAGACGTGATTAGTAATACCAGGCAAACGGCGTTCTCTTGTCAGCATCAGATCAGATCGTGGAGAGCATAATCGTTTCCCGGGGTTTTAGCGTTCTCGTGCCATCTTTCCCCGTTAGTAGTCTATTTGCTGACGGGTTCTTCCACTCGACGTGGAAATAACGTGATGTGTGGCTTCGACGGGGGAGATGACTGGCTGGGGAAGTTGCCGTCGGTCCCCACGGTTTTTGTGTAAGCACTTGCGGAGGGTCGGATGTCACTTGCTGGGTCAAAGTCAGAAGTTTGAATGAACTCCCAAGAGGCCTCGTGAAAAGAGGGAAAATGGAGGAGAGAAAAAGCTGGATTCGTGGGTGTATGTATGTGATACCTAAGTAGTCTGTCTTATTA